ACATTATGTATATTTTATTATTATATAACAAAAATATTGTAATAAATTCACATTTAAAACAAATAAACATTAAATGAAGTTTAAAGTATAAAACTTGAAATTAATCTTTAAATTAAATGCTTATGATGTTATGCGATAAATGTTAAATTCATTTAAAAAAAAAAACAAAAAAACCAAAAAATTATAGAAATTAAAAAAAAAATTAAAATTATATAACACTATATTCATATTAATTTCTTCTATCCAATTTTTCATATTTTATATTTTCATTTATCATTTTTCAAAAATCACGTTTTTTCTAGAAATTTATAAATCAACAACAACAAAAAAAAAACAAATTTGAAATACCTTTATATATAACATTATACTTTAATCCTTAAGTAGATTTTTATAAATTTTAACATTTTTAAATATAATTATTATTATTCTATATAAAAACGATTATATAAATAACAAAAACACAGAAAAAAAAGACAAAACAACACACTGTATATAATATATACAAATTTTAAATAATTAATAAATAATATTTAATTGTATTTAATAAAATTTATACAAATCAAAATAAAATAGTTTTCTAATTTATTATAAAAAAAATAAGCAAAAAAACAATAATACATTCATAAATGTTTTGAACATTAATTCTTGCAAGAAAGAAGTTCATAATCGCTATTTCAAATATTTTTTAAAATAATTCATTGCAAACTAATTAACAAAAAAAACACTATATTTATACATTATATAAAAAGTATTGAAAAATGAACTTAACACTTGAGGAAAATAAAATACTTCTATTTTGAATATATTTATAATACTATTGGTCCTATATGAAGAGCAAAAATTCATTTAGGTTTATATATCAAAAATTTTTTCTAAGACATTAATATGATTTCAATATACTTTTAATATAAAATAATAAACTTAATAATCTACTTACAATGTATAAATTGAAACTAAATACTCGAAAACCCATATTAAACTGTTAATAAATTTCATTCTTATTATTACTTATTAATTAACTAAAATTATTTTTAGCAAAAAATTTGCAAACGCGACTAAATATAATTAATTTCAATCTTAATTAAATTTTCTGATTAAACTTTCTGAATCAAGTGTTAAGCAGATTTAAAACCAGAAACAGTTTTAATAATATGAAAACATATTGAAATTTTTACATATAAAAAAAAAAATAATTTTTTATTTTACTCTAAAATAAATTTTTCTTAAGAACTTTCCTGTCTTAAAGCGTACTAAATTTTAAATTTTGTATTTTTTTAAATAAAATAAATTAAATTTATTTTAATTCAATTTTCTATATATTTTTTTCTTTGATTAACTAGAAGCATATATTTGGTAATTATTGTTATTGATATGTATATATCATATTCTGGATATTGTACTTTTAATTTTTATATATATATAGATATTTAAACATATTTAAATTTCTTAATCAACAGATTTTATCTTAATTTGTAATCAGCTTTGGTCGATAGTAATAACAAAATAATGGGCAGTTATGTTTATTATATATGTAAAATTATTTAATTAAGTTAACTTTATCTATTTTAACGTTTTATTTTTAAATATATATATATATACATATATTGAAAAACTATATATTATATAAATAGTTTTATTTATGTAACATACTTTTTATTTTCTTTGTATAATCATAATTCATAATTTTATATTAAAAATATTTTCATTATTTTTGCTGTATATAAATATATGTAATCTGTAAATAAATAAATCTTAATAAATTATAAAAAATTGTTGATTAAAAAATAAGCTAAATAATACTTCAAGTTTTATTTTAATTTTCCAAAAAATTAGCATATTTTTATATTTTTAAAATTTTATTTAATTTTACTTAATATAATATTATGTATTTTATTCCATTAAATTTTTTTCAAATTGACAATAAACTCCGAATATACGTTTTTTTTATATATGTATACGTATATATATATATATAAATATATATATATATATATATTATATATATAATATATGTATATGTATATATACGTGCACGTGTACGTGTATCGATCTTATCTCTTTTTAAAAGAAACAAGAAAATTAGAAAATATTCTTTAGTAAAATTGTACAATTTTTTTAACTCTAATTTGAAATTTATATTTTTATATAATAAATAATTTTATTTTGAAAAAAATTTTCTATATTACATAATATACATAAACACCACAGAATTTTAAAAACAGGGCATCGAATTTTGCACAAGTTTGTAGCAAAAATTAATTTTTTTTACTATTCTTATACTATATTAAAAAACTGATATGAATTACAAAAGTCATTTTAATATAATTCAATAAATAAATAAAAATACATACATAAATTAAAATATTTAAGATATATGTATATTCTTTTCATTATCCAAATTTTCAATTTAAATTTATTGATTTAAGTAATATTCAGAAAAATAATTTTAAAATTTCAATTTAAATTAAAAAACTATACACTTTTCAATATACATTTCAATAATTTTGTTTCAATCATAAAATATTCGAATATTAAATTTTCCGTACAAATAAATTTTATTTTATCTCTTTGAATTTTAAAATAATGTCCAAGGTAAAAAAAAAAAGCGATTTTATGCCCCCAAGTCGGAAAAAAATAAAGATACTTAGAATATTAAAAATAAGCATTTTATTCAATTCTTAATTGAATTAAAATTTAAAAAAAAAATTATATATTTCTATTAATATACTTATTTTACATAATATTATGTATTTTATAATAAACTTGTATAATAATTTAAAATTTAGTATAAAAGTTTATTATAAAATAAAATATTTTTAATTTTTTCCTAAAATTTATTTATAATATATTACAATTTAATTTTTAAATCGTATTTCATGAAAATAACTTAACATTATAACATAATATTAATATTATTATAATATATAACATAATATAATATTAGTTAAATAAAATATACACTAATAACACTCTGTTATAACTAAATAAATAAATAATATTTAATATGAATGAAAATGGCCAAATATAACTTCTAGATAAATCATTTGGTCTATATGTATTTACTATATAATTATATTAAATTTTTCAGTTTTAATTAGTAAATTTAATGTATACATTCTTCTGGAAATTTATTAAAAAGTCTTAAAAACAAAAATAATGTCTAGAAAATATAATACTAAAATAAAAAAATAAATGATCGTATATATAAGCATATATGTACATATATATATATAAATATATATATATATATATATATATATATATATATATGTATTTATATATAATTATTTATATAAAATATGATATAAAAAATATCGTTTCAAAAGCAAAATAAAAAAAATCTGCACATAATATTGTATGGGTCTTTCTAATGAGCACGTTCAAAAAATAAAAACATAAATTGATACAACAATTATTATATAATAAAAACTTAATTAGAAATTAAAAAATCATTAAAAATAAAAAATTAAAAAAAAAAAAATAAAAAATAGTTTTATATTTTCCAATTTGACAAACAAACAAACAAAAATGTTGTTTTAGCGAAGGGAATTAAGTTTAAGTAACAGTAAAAAAAGTTATTAAAAAAAATAAAATTAGTTTGCTAATATTATTATTAAAATATAATTACTAAACATTTATATATATATATATATACATATATTGATTTATATATGTATAAATTAAAAAAAATACATATGTACTTACTATCATTTAAAATGAAAAAAAAAAAATAAAATTTTAACTTATTTGTATTTGTTTTTTTTTATGAATTTTTGTATTACAAAGAAAACAAGAAATTATTTTCATCTTTTAAGTGTATAAATGAATGCATGGATTATTAATGATTATTATTATTAACTATTATTATTATTATAAAAAAAATATTAATATTAATGAAACAAAAATTATATGAAAATAAAAAAAAAAAACAAAACTTCTTCAATCAAAAAATTGTCATTTTAATTTTACTCGGAAAGTGAGAAGAAAGTGAGTAACTATCATGTATCATATATCATATACTTGTATAATATAAATTTGGAGTGAGAAGAATTATTCTGATTGCGTATCTCGTTAATTTTAAATAATTTTTTCACTTTGTTTTTGAAAGTGAAACATTCGGTCGATAATTTCAGAAAAAATGCAAAAATCGAATAAAAAAAATCAGTAATCTTATTGGAAAACTGAAACATTCATTAGAAAATACTGAGAATTCTGATTTGAAAGTGAATTAAAAGTGAGTAAAAAAGCAAGATACACGATCAAACTGTAAATCTTGAAATTTATATCAATAAATTTTTACTTAGAATATATAATTCCGTGAGATTTGTATGAAGTGACACAGTCCTAGTCTATTACCCCATTCTAGAAGTGATTGTGATTTGATGACGAATATCAAAACCACTCTAAATTTTTCTCCGGCATGATATAACCCCAACACTTACATGTTAAATCACTACAGGTTAGTATAAGACTATTGCATTATTAAAAATTTAACGAACTACTTCAACCGGAACAACTTCGGTCTAGTTTACCTGATCTAACCGACTAGTTACCGTGATCTATTTTTGTTTTGTCTAAGCCAGTATTAAAATTTTAGCAATATAACGCTTTATGACTCTTTTAACGATGATTAAAAATATTGTAAATATCCTTTAAAACAATTTGTTCTATATTTAATAATTACAAATAATTGAAAAATCTTTCAATAGTTTAGTCAATCTTTAAAAACTCAACAAAGTAGAGCACAACAAATTATTTCTAATCCATAAACAACTTATTTCCCTATATAAAAAACTTTACAAAATGTAAAAAGAAAAAAGCAAGGGGGTTATCACTATATACATACGTGGATATAAACAACAATACATTATGATAAAGGGTACCATAAAAAACGTTACATAACAAAAAAATTTTTCTGTTTTAATTTATTTTTAATTCTCATTAATCTCAAAATTTTCACATTCAATTAAATTTTTAGAATTTATAATTTGCATTTTTATTTTTCGTTTGATTCTGACATCGCTAAAAAAATAAAATACATATTTGCTCATTTCAAGTTAATCTTGATGAATTTAATATAAATTTTCTTGTAACTTCAAAAACTAAACATATGGGAAAAAACATATAAAAAAACTTGTATTCACACATAAAAAAAAATTAAATTTGTTCATTCAAATTCTGATTTATCATTTGATCATTCAACGAATTATCCTGGAACACGTTGCAAATTATGACTTTGAAATACTCCCGAGCATTTTGTGAAAAATCCTGCATCTATCATTATATCCAACAAATTTTGGCCTCCATTTTTATCATAAATTTGAACATATACACTATTAACATTATCTATAACTTTAACCACATATATATTATTTAAAAGATTACTTTTCAGGTAATCCAATAAATCTCCTTTCTTTTCTGGTTTGACTATGACATTAGCAAATGTAAAATGTAGAGCCTGACAAGGAATTACATCAAATTTTGAATCCCATTTCTTCATATCGCTAACATGAACCGCTTCTATGTTGCCATAATCTAAATATCTAACTATAAAGAAGTTATTGTCGCTGATTTCAATAATTCTTGCTCGGTAAAATAACCCGTCAGTATATTTTGCAAAAACTAGCTCAAACAATGCTGGTATGCAATCTAAAGTTATACATTTTGCCATTTCTTCTTCTGAATTCCATATTTTTGACATATTGGCTAGAGATGTTTCGGAACATGTTGAGTCCAATTTATGGACTTGAGCGAAAAATGTAGTGCAACTCTCGATAGCAGTTGGTATAATCATAATAAATGAACCGATTTCAGGTACTTCCATTGGAAAACTGTTTTCTAATACAACAATTTCTTTATCTCGCGTCCATCCACTTAACAATTTATCTTCGTGAGATAGTTTGCAACGACTTCCCTTAAAGCATTCACCGTTCTGTGCAAATTTACATATTCGCATTTCATCCTTAGGTTCGTACCCCATTACCGCCTTTAAGGCGTTAGTAGTGTTAAGAGGCTCTTCGTACAAAACTGCTTTCTCATAATCAGTAAGTTGGCAAGAATTAAATAAAAAATTAGGCTCATCTGTTTTTAGGCAGTTATTTTCAACTTGTATACCAATTTCAGACACTTTGACATCTGAATTTTCTGTAAACATATTATTATGTTTTGTACTATCGCATGTTAAATTCAAATCTTGAAGTTCAATGGTGGTTAAAGAGTTTGAAAAAGGGTTATGGTACTCTTCCAAATCTAAATACCAGAAGTTGTTTTTTTTTTTTACTATTTTAAAATTATATTTGGTTTTTGGATCCACCACGTTCTTGTAAAAATTTTCTTTTGTAATCTTAAAATTGTTCGGATACACCATGTTGAGTTTGCAAAGGATTGCCAAAGATGGGTGGTACTTCAAGTCATGAGGTAGATCAAAAATCGAATGCTCAGCTTCAATTTTAATTTCTATTCCATAATCAACAAGAAAACATCTAATGTATTTTGATATAGAAAGTGTATTTTCTCTTACGGCTCGACAAATTTTACCAAAATATTTCACAGCAAATAATTCGCCACATTTGGGAAGTTTTGTTAGAGGTTTAACACTCATTTTTCTTAATAAACTGAAAAAACGCTTGTAAGTGTTATAATATGTCAAATCATAAATGTAGAACATATCATGTTCCGTCGATTTATTTATTATTATGCATGTTCTTTTAATGTTAACAGACTCGGAATACATTAAATCATTTTGTAAAAAACTATAGTTATAACTATAGGAGTATCGTTTTTTAAGTATTTCACATAATTTTTCACCTTTCATCGCCTTACTAATAAACGATTTATAGTCCATTTGTATAAAGTTTGCTTGTTGAAGGAAATCATCTACTAATATTCTTATATCGCCAAAACTGTTAAATAATTCTTCATGGAATTCATCGTTTATATCATTGGTAACAAATTCTGATATATTTTCGCAAAACTTTGTAAATTCCTCAACATTTTTTTTAAAATTATTGCACAACATTATTATTTCCATTGCTAAATGCACACAGCTTTCACTTTGTTCTGATAAAATGTTATTCTTTTCCATTTTGCCTAGATTTATTAGAAGTACCTACCCGCAAGCAACTTTGATTAAACTGCCTAGCCGCAAGAAACTTTTGATTAACTTGACAAATGAAATTGAACTTAACCAAGCAAAAATTTCCTAACGGATAGTTTTTGTTTTATTTTCATTTTATTTCAAAACCTGCTAACGGATTATTATTGCAAGCAGCACTGCCAAAAGAGAAGATTTATGATCAAAATGAAGATTTTTTGGTCATTTGTTCTTGTGCAAAACTTCAAAATAAGATATTTAAAATTTTTAAGTTATACAAAAATTTCTTTAAAATTAAGGTTTTTAATGCTAGTGAACTTTGTAAATATTGGTTTTCCAAATATTTTCCATATAGTTTTTCCATATTTTCCAAAATTTACATAAAAACATTTTGACCAAAAAGTCAAGCTAATAGGCAATGCATAGTAACGCTACTTCCATGACAGAAAATTTTTGATATTCTTCGATTCTATATTAATCGAATTGGCGCTTTAAGTAAATGCGCATACTGCTTATAACACCATAATGTCATTGTGTATGCCATTAATTTATTTTTTTTCGTGCTTTTTTTAATTAAACTTCAATTGAAGATTTCGAAAGGTTCGTGAAAATTTTTTTTAACGAATCTTCAAAATGAATGATTGTTTTAAAAAATAAAGATATTTGGGCTAATCGCTAATCTAATTGGCAGCACTGATTACGAGGTATGTTTGTCTTTTGGTGAAAATATGTTCATTCTGGTAACAACTAAGTACCGAAAAATATGTTCATTCTGGTAACAACTAAATACCGAGCTGCTTTGCATAGCAAACCAAACTATCAACCCATTACTTTATTTTTTTTTCTTTGGAAACATGTCAATTATACACTCCTTCAAAAAGGAAAAGAAGAATTTGCAAATGTTAAATATTTTCTAAGAAAACTTTGTTTTTGTTTTTTGAAATTTTTAAAAATTTATACCTATGCAAATATGTATATGTATCTAATAAGCAACGGAAAACAATTTCAAAATACATCGTCGGTATACATTGGTTTTTTCGGTATATGAGTAAAACATAACCTTAACTTGTTTTTATAACCATTTTTCATACGATATTTTATGATAACGTCTATTTAATAAAAAAAGATATACAAAAGAGAATTAAAATTGAATGACAACACAAATTTTGAAATGTAGCAACATTTCGGATTAATCTAGAGAAAAGTATCAAGTCCTGGACTTTGCTTTTTTGGTTAAAATTGCATACATATGTGTGTATGTATTTTTTTTTGGAAAAATGCCATTTTTGAAAAATCATTTTTATGTCTATAAATTATGTCATATACATATGTATGTATGTACATAGGTATTTATTTTATTGAAATTTCTAATTCAAAATAAATTAAGAAAAAAACAGAATTTGGAGGGTTTTATTAAATCAATTTTTTAATATTTTTATAGCAAAACTATAAAAATGTTATCACTAGTAAAATAAAAAAATATAAATAAAAGTGTATCTTGTAGAAGATTTATGATGTTAAAAAGGGCCCTTTCTAGCGTCCATAATACGTGTAAATTCGTAGCTGTGAAATGTCTCTCTATCTTAGGGATTAATTATCTATTTCGCTATTTTTCGCTTCTCGGCAAGTGAGAAGAAAGTAAGTAACTATTATACATATGTACATATGTATGTATATTTGTATAAAGTAATTTTCGAGTCAGAAGAATTATTCGGTATTATTTTTTTCTAAAATGTACAAAATTTATTCGCTTTGTTGTTAAATGTGAGACGTTCAGTGGTTAATTTGAGAAAAAATTTAAAATCCGATTGAAAATATGAGTAATCTTATTGAAAAAATTAAATATCCACTACAAAAGTGAAGAATTCTGATTTCAATAAAAAGTCGTGATTAATCCATAAAAATTTAAAAGTTATGTATGCTAAAATTGTTCTTAATTGATCCAGCAACATTCATCATGACACTACCATAGAAAATAATTTAATTAAGAGGTATTGACAGTCAAATTTTTTTTTGGGATTGGCTATTAAAGAAAAACAAATTTAGCAATAAAGGGAATAAAATTTTCATTTTATCTGAAAGTTTATTAGAAAAACTGATTTTCAAAAAATACATACAAAGGGTTTACTTGAAATAATCTCAAAGGTATGGTCCCCAACCAACATACATAGCTGCCAGATTATCAATATCGACAGCTTTTTGTATTACGTAGTTAACAACACCTTCACAAGATAAGGGCATATTGGCTCCTACTGTCTCGTGGTTGACCTGAAAAAAATTAGTAATTTAAAAGTTGTTTATAAAACCTAAAAATTAAAACTGACGAGTCCTTTCAGTCTTGCTTCAGTTCTTTGAACATTTATAATTGCTCCATCATCAGTCCTCTCCAAATTTCGATCGGTTTTCATTGATTTTTTATTCCAAGAAACTAAGGGATCATAAATGAATGGCTTCAAAACTGACATTAATATTGGGGTATTAGCCTTTAAAACATGCATTGTAATTTCACAGCATTTTTTAAATGGTCCCTCAGTTCCCAAAGGACCCATAGCGTCAACCATATTATGCGTCAAACGAAAAGGAACTTTTTCAGGAAATGCAAACAATTCAGCTCGATTAAATAAACAATTGAAATCGACGTGAACCGCGTCACCAGTTTGACCATCCATTAAAATATTTTCACCATGACGATCACCCAACCCCAATATGTAACCAACAATTGACATAACAGCGGTTGACTGTATAAAAGTTGTGCGTGCTTGATACCAATTATGTGGATTACTAAATCGTTCCAAAAACCATTCGTAAAATATCGGTGGATGACGCGGTAACAACTCTTTCAAAAATCTTTCACGGCGTTTTTGTATATCATTTTCTTTTTCACCAAATTTTTTCAATTCTCTTACTGACATAATACTAATTTTGCGAGATTTATAAAGTTCAATCAAAATTTGCCTGAATGGTTTTAGGTCATTCACCCATTCAATTATACCACACTCTTCATTTAGTGGCATTACAGCATACGTTCTTATACCTAAACGACGTTGGCGAGCTTTTGCATCCTGGTATAAATATTGCTTAACTATATTATTAAATTCCATCAAACGAAAATCTTTTCGTAAATCATCATTTGGTTTCAGTAACACCGTATATTCTTTTCCATCGCTTCCTATAAGGACAGTCCTCTTTGGACGTTGTAAGGAATTTAATATTACTATTTCCTCCCGTATCCCTAAAAAAAAAGGAAATAAAAAAAATGTTGAAATTTTGAATATTTAATATCTTACCGTATATATACACCAAATCATTTGGAAACGGATTAAAAGAATTCAAAGAACAATTACGTTGTCCTAAACTTGGTAAACTCATTTGTAAAAATTTTTCAAACGGTATCATGACTAATGAAAAGTCTCGTTCTCGAAAAATTTTTGGTAACAATGGGACAAGACTGCTCACTGTTGGAGTTTGACCTCTTTCAATCGGAAAATTAGTGAATTCAATAAATTTCTCAGCAAATGAATTGAAATCTTTTATTAATTTTTGCATTTGGATATTCCTCAAGCGTTTGTCGTTGAAAATGTCATGGCATCGTCTAATTCGACTCGGCAATGAAGACTTGAATACTGGTAATATCATCCAAAGGGAATGTTGCGCATATTTTTCAATCAGTCGTACTACAATGTTCTTGATTGTCTTCCAAACCGCCTCTGAAGGGTGACATATTCTACTAATTATTTGTGAAAACGCCGTAAAGTAAAGAAACAAAGGCAAAACTTGGGCTGATTGATCCATCAACTCATTAATTTTTTTTAAATATGGATTTGTTGCCTGGGAGCTGTTGCCCTGAATTCTATAGACACCACCATTATTAATGTCGTTTATATCAAACCATATACTAAGCATACGCGGCATGGATTGATACAAGAATTCACAACCATACTGTAGTGACTTTGAGTAATTATATAGTATTGACAACAATGTTCTTTGCCCATATTCACTTTGTTGTACTGATTCTTCTAAAGTTGCAAAAATTTTATCATGATATTCAGCTGTAATTAGTGCAAAAGCAATGAAAAAAAATAGAAGCTGTGATTTTTTTCAAGATAGTATACCTAGTGCAACGTAACATTTTTCTGATTTATTGTTGTTTTTAATAGATTCATTGAAGTACTTCTTATTAAGATCAGGATTAATATTCATAGATTCGGCATTATAGGAAGCTTGCAAAAATTTGGCTTCTGCGTACAACAATCTCTTGTCCACAGGTAAAGAGTCAATTCCTGATTTTTCGATTTCTAAAATTTTATCTTCAATCACCTTGAATGAATTAGGTTGATCATTTTTCATCCAAAATAGTTTTGCTTGCTCTATAAATAAGTTATCTGGATTATATTTTGCTGCGTTTAATATATTTAGGTGAGCTTGTTGATAACATCGGGCTTCGCGGTTTAATTGTACACTCCTAATCCACAATTTTCCTATTTCATTGTTAATTAGTTCCTCAAAAATGCTATAGTTTTGATTTGTTTTTAGCTTATGTTTAACTTCATTTAGTAAAATACGACGGAGGCATAAAAAGGGCTCTGTAACTTTAATTGTTGGTTGCAAAAATCCTAAACGGGCGTTCCATTCATCAAAAAAAGTGGTTAAAATTGGAATCGACTCATGTTCATATGGTATATTTAAGATCCTATCAATCAAGTAACGACATTTCTCAATATCTGTTAATAAGTGCAATTTTATTACCTGTAAAAAAATAATTATGAAACTGTATTAAAATTTGAATCTTAACTCACCTGAGAATATCCTTTATGATACGAATCACAGTCAGCCGCTCCAAATTTCATTATTTTCAAAACACTGTGACGTATGTCATCAATATTTTTTTCAAATGTATCCAAAGTAACATCATCTTTATGAAACAGAAGCAAAGCCTTACCATATAGTACATTCCAGCTTTTACTATCATCAAAAAGCGGATGTTGTAAAAGTTCTTCTAGCTCTTCAAATCTTCCCAACCGCCACAAGGGCTCTATTTGAGATTCCTTCAAGCAATCGTTATTTAGCTTAGTACTTAGCTTTTTCATTACACCTTGACTAATAAGCAAAGCCGTTTCAGGTGTATCTAAACGCAAAAAACATTCCACAAGACCATCCCAATCCGTACTGTTTAGTGCATCCAGTTCATTTGCACCTTCTTTCTCTTTGATCAGTTGTTCATAACAAGCTGCTGTTTCTTGCAATTTGTCAGTCATACTGTTAACTAGTATTTGTTCCTGTAAAGATGGCTCACTTTGTTTCAAATACATGCAACCCTCCAACGAATCCGTATCCATCAATTCTACATAAATTTTAATTAAAAAGGACAAAATTTCTTGCAAAATCTTATTATAATTTTGCGTGCAAGTTTTTTTTAAATACCATTCGCAATATTTTAAAGCTCTTGCATACTCTCCACATTCGAAATTAACTTGAGCCAATTCAAATTTGTCAAAAGAATTTATAAAATCTTTAACAGCTATATAGTTTGATTCAGTTTTATTTGAATAAACAGAATAATATTCTCGCATCCATCGTTCTAAAAAGTCAAGCAAATCGAATCCAATTTTAGCACATTTTCTACCGATGTTTTCCATATTCAAATGGTTTTCTTCATGCTCCTGAGATTTTTTAGATGTTTTCGTTAAACTTGCTACTAATTCAATGAAATCTTCACGGTTTTTAGTTTTCAAAGACGTGTTGATTGGTTGCTTATTTAGCACGTTTTTAAAAACGCAATTCAACTCCTCAAATATATGATCGCGATTTTGTTGATTTCTGTTTTGTAGTCCATGTAATATTACATAAGGTAAAAATGCATCTAAAATATTTATATCTCGCCTTAAACTTGGAAGAAGAGAATTTAATAAATGTTTGGTATCCATATCTTCAATGGAATGAACAATATTTGTTGCCCAACTGAAAGCCCAAAGAATATAGGTTTTCGCACATTCACTTCCAAAAATTGGATGAGTTTGAGCGTTCTCTACTTTTTGCATTCCTAAAAAAATAAGAAAAAGTTTATAACAGTACAACATGAAGAAACCAAAAAAATTAAGTACCAGTATAACAAGATGTTAAAAGCGGCTCCATAATCTGTCTCATTCTTTCTGGAATGGCATTCCACACCTCCATTTTATTTTTTCGTTTTGGGCAAACACCAAATGTTCTTAAAATTTCTTGTATTCCCAATGAAAAGTTATCCACATAATGTGTATCCTTTTGAAATTGGTATGCCTTACACAATTCTTTCAAAGCCATAATTGCAAAAGCATCCGAATGTATTGATAGCGGAAATATTCTTTCTTGTGCAGAATAATTTGGCCTCATTAAGCCAGGCTCGATTGCACCTAGCTCACCGATACATTTTGAAGAGATTAATTTCAAATTTGAATCAGAATGCTTACACCCAACCATTAAATTTCCTAAAACATTTTCTAAGATTGGATTTATAAAATTTTGTCCCAATATCATTTTATTAAGTTCACGACGATTTTCTGAAAACACCTCCTTTAAATATTTTAAGCCATAAACACGTATAATAACATTTTCATGTGTTACTTGTTTTAAATAAAATTCAATTTTATCCTGCAAATTATTTGTCCTTAACTTTTTCTCTGTACGTTGAGTAACAAATAATCGAATATTTTGTGAAACATTCAATTTACTTATAAAAAACAAATCAGCTATGTATGTACTAAGAAGGTTACCATTTTCAATTATTAAAAAATTATAAATTGAGTTAATTTGTTCTTGATTTGTATTCAAAAGAGGCTCCAATGAAGCAACAATTCGACTTAAAGATGGTCCCAAAGTTGCAACATCTACATTATTAATAAAAATTTTCCAAATTTCTATACATATTTTTCTTAGATATGGATCTTTTAAGGTCAATGTTGTGCTTAACATAGCTAAAATTTTGAAATGAAATTGCGTAACGTATTTTGTTCCCAAAAATCTCATTATTTCCCCAAGACTGAGTAAAATTTCTGGTTTTAAATCTTTTTGAAAATCACAACCCATTAAATACATTTCAAAATAATTTAAAACTCCTAAGAATCCTTCTGCCAAAAAATTCGTAATGTCTGCTACATTTCCTTGAGTTAATGTTGATTGGGAGGAAATGCTGTTTGGATTTCCTTCTTTTAATATCAAACAACGAAATGTTTCCATTACAACTTTTGGATTTCTGTGATAATAGATAAGCATTTTGGCAACAGTTTTCTACAAAAGTTTTTATAAATTAACATTAAATTACTACAAACATAAGAAAAAGTTACCTTATTCTCTGGACTAATTAAGCTAAAAAAGTCTGAATTTGTTTTTTTCATTATGTAATCAAGACAACCTTTAAAATAATTTGATTTTTCTCTGATAAAATGTTCTAAATAAAACGTTAAAAATGCACTTTTTAATAGATCTTGGACTGTAATTTTTGCATATAGAGCAGCTTCTTCTAGCAATTTTTCGCATTCTTCATTTATAATCACTTGAGGTAATATCATTGTAATAAACAAATCTTGATGTCGAAGAATAAATTCACGCGAACCTTTGTAGCCAAATAAGTAGGATACCTATTCAAATTGTAATTAATAATTTAATTTTTTAGATTTTTATCAAACAAATCAAATAGAAATACTGATATAATTTTCGAATAAAAATAAATGTTAAAGACAATATGTTTATATATACATATCTACAATATGTTATATGTATAATTTTTCATCTTTTTAGCTATTCTCATTAAATTTAATCAGTTTTTGTTTTAAAGGTATTATTGAAATAGTTTCTGGTATTATGGTTGAATTCTACATTCTTACTTTACCAACGAACTTCATTGAATAGATATTGAAATAAAATCATAGACGGAATTATAAAAAAAAACTTTCTTTTTCAAAAAAAGATAAACTTTGATAGAGGATATGAATCACTTATATTCTGTTAGTCGTCCCTTTTGAGAATATTATATTTCGAAATTTATTTTATTCAGAAAATTACAAAATTTTTTGAAAATACAATTAACAGAACAGATTTCATCAAAAAATAATAAGGAATTATTACTTAGGATCAACTATGTTTTCAGTTTTTTTTTTTTTTGGTTAATCTAAACCTTAATATATCGACCAGTTGATAAAATACAAGTAAGATCTAAATAAACACTAAAACAAATGCTTCAAAATAAAACTAATATTTTATGCAATAATATGAAATTAATTAGCGTGCTTGAAATAAAACTTACATATTCTAAAGATTTTGTTAACCGTATCCCGTGGCATAGATAAATCGCATTACACAAGTTGGCTATTAATTGTAAAATTTCTCTTTGATACCAATTCAAAATATTATTTGTTGTGATATTGTTTTCCGAGCACACATTATGAGCCAATTCAATTGCCAAGTACGGAACATGCGATTCATATCTTATTAAAAACATTATACATAATTTGATAACATAATAAATTTGCTTTTCGGGTAAACCATTACACAATGCATATTTTGTTAAAATATTTATTATTTCTTTCTGTTCATCAAAATCATTTTTTTCTAAACACATTTTTACCATATTTAGTAAATCACCAATATATCTTAATAAAAGTTCATCTTTCACATCTTTTTCATATTGCAATGTTAAAATACAAATTTTTGGTAGAAAATAAGTCCAATTATTCAAAATTCTGGATGATTTTGAAAAATCGCAATGATTGATTATATTAACGAAGGTTGTGTTACAAACATTTTCTTCAGTAATAACTAAATCACAAAATTTTATCAATTCATTTCCTTTTAAAATAGGTTGGTTATATACTGGGATGTTGTGAATTTCTAAAATTCCATGATATTTGTTACACCAAAATTTTAAAATAGAAATTATATCAGCATGCTTCGAACATTTTTCATTAGTATCGTAGTTTGAACACTTTGTGCATATTATTTTATAGGATATTTCATTTTTCGAAAATATAGAAATTATATAAATACCTCCTTTAGTATCCCAAATAACGTTGTCATTATTATTATCATAATTAAAATAACAAATTAAATCATTTAAATTATTAAGTAACAAATCTGGTTTTTTTAAATAAAAGTTTATTTGTTGAAAAATCTTTTGTTCGAAAATTTGTGGCTTTATTGCTCCATTTAACAAAAATTTAAATATTCTAGATAATATGCATCGATGTAAATTTTGTAAATCATCACGCATAAATATCCTTTGCAGAATACGTTCAAATGATTCAAAAAAATGGTTTTGCACTGGTATGTCAAGTTGTTTCGGTTTAATATTTGATAACGATTTTATTATTAACTCATTTAAATAATCATCCCCACAAATTTTTTCAAATGGAAAATCGTTTGGAAGATTTATAATCTTATTGACATACTGAAGCAAAAAGTCCAAAATAATTTTTTTGTTATTAGGTGAAAACTGTTTAAATATGTTGTTCTGTATTAAGTTGTTTAAGAAAGTTGTAATTATTTTGAAATTGTTAATTTCAATATTCAGTTTTTTTCGTAAATTTTTTAAAAACAACATAATATGATTTTCAAATTCTTTTAAATTACTTATAAATAGCAAATTTAATTCCTGTTTTGCATTATTTTCACTAGATGATTTTGCAAATATAATTTGCTTATAATATAAATATTCAAACTGTATTAAATTTGATAGCCGCAAAATTTCACTTATATATTTTATTTTATTATTAATATCATTTTCAATGTTTTCTGGATCAAATTCGATGTATTTTTTTAAAATACTTTCTACTTTGATCCAATTTTGGCTGATTTCATTTAAGTTTATTTTATCTTGTTGCGAGCTTCGAATGTCTTTTAATACTAATGATGTGAATGTAAGAAAAAATTCAGAATGATTTTTTGCTAATGTAATCAACTCTTCCACTTGACTTTCGTTAAAACATAAGTCATAGTTTATTAACAAAATTTCTTCTAAAATGTTTATCAAAACTTTGTAAAGGTCTTTAACGATTTCGGGTAGAATATTGTTAAATGATTTTGATAACAAGATGTTAAGAATATTCCCAATGATTAATATTAACTTTTCCATCTTTACGTGGTCTTTGTTTAATTTTTTTTCTTTTACGTATGCTTGAGTTTCTTTAAAATAATTTAATGTGTTGATTAAAAGTATCTCGGCTTGTCGGTGTTCTATGCAGTCTATTTCTAAAGCCAAAGGTATTTTTAAAATCAACTTGGAAAATCCTCTCATTTGATCTTCAAAATATTTAAAAGAATTGTCCTTTTTGATCATTTTAAAAAAATATTCGGTACATATAATTTTTATGTTCCAAGAACATATATCAAATGCTTCTAAAACATTTCGCATAACTTGCATATTTTCAATAGTAAACCACATTGTACTCAATGGCATTAAATTTTGAAATATTTTAATATTACTCCCTAGTAGCGTTTCAATTTTTCTCATATTACTTTCCAGTTCATTTTCTTTAAATTCAATTTTATAATATAACGCTTGTGGTTCAAATTTCTGAATATTTTCTGCATCATTTGTGTAAAAAATTTCAAATATTTCTGGAAATTTACGAGTCCCGTATAAATTAAGCAAATTCTTTGTAAAGGATATATAAATATTCACAAATTTTGAAAATAAGGCTCTTTTTTTGCGAAAACATCCAACTAAAAATTCTGCTTGAAAGTCTATTAATTCCTCAATCGCACTGAAATTTAAAAGTAATAAAACAAATGTTAATTAAACTTTTCTTACAAAATACTTTTATTATAACTTCTGAAAAGTCTGTCTATTTATACATATGTATGTACATAATTATATAAAAAATATAATACAAAATATGGTATGCAAGTAAATACATATTGCTTTGGTTTACTTTATTTTAAAAAATAGCCTCAAACAATGTACATGCATACGTACATATATATGCATCATCATAATATTATAGTTCGTGACAATTTTTTAATTAAATTGAAATAAAATACAAATTATAAGCAGTTTTATTATCCGCATGTTGTATCAAATCTAAAAATATGAATTAAGGACATTATTATATAATCTAGAGTCTTTTTGCATGACGTTATGGTTTCATTTCAAAGAATCGAATTCAATGCACTTCATTTCCCTTATAAAATATGTAAATGTATTCAATTTTCTTTCTAATATTTCATAAAACAGGGCTGATTTGTTTAAAGCTATCTGCAATAAGATGAATTGCCGAGAAATGTAAAAAACCTAATTCAATTATTATTCTTTTTCAGAAATTCTACGGGACGTAATAATATTATGGATAATAATATGTACTAAACAGTGGATGTGTCTTTTCCGAATGAATATTGTCTTTGATTCACATAAAACTTATGCAAAACTACATCAGAATTCTGATTTATTCTATCATACAAAACTTGATTGAGTGAAAATATATAATTCAATACTATATTTATAAAGCATTCTATTATATATCATACTATTTTTATAAAGCTTTAACAAATAACAAATGGTGTAACAAATATCATGGAATTTTTTTAACTTTAACTTAGTTTATTAAAATTTTGTTGCTTCCGAAATGTGCTTCGTAACTTTCATAAAAAATTCTTCCTCTATCATTTTATCAAGTAAATTTTCATTACCATCTTTATCGTACAGTTCAACAAATAAACTATCAGCATTACTAATAATTTTAACAACATAGGTTTTATTCAAAAAATTGCTTCGAAGATGATGTAACAAGTCTTCCGCCTTTCCAGGCTTAACTTTAACATTAGCAAATGTAAAGTGCTCGGCCTGACATGGTATAACTTCATATTTTTTATCCCATTTTCTCAAATCATTAAGATGAACTATTTCAATATTGCCATAGTCCAAATATATAACCACAAAGTAGTTATTATCCCGGTTTTGAATTACTTTGGCTCTATAAAAAAATCCGTCAGTATATTTAGCAAAAACCAACTCAAATAAAATGGGTGTTGAATCATAAGGTTCGCATTTTGCCATTTCTTCGTGAGAATTCCACTTTCTAGTTAGTTCACCAATAGAAGGTTCGGGATAGCATGAATCAAATTTTTGGACCTGACCAAAAAATGTGGTGCAACATTCGATTGCCGTGGGTATAATCATAATAAAAGAACCAATTTCCGGAATTTCTAATGGCAGTATTTTTTCTGATACAATTTTTTTATTTTGTCTCCATTTACTTAATGATTGCACGTCATTAAATAGATGTTCATCTTGAGCTACAAATTTACGTGTTGACGCAGTATCCTTAGTGTCGTATCCTCTAATCGATTTTAAAGTATTTGAGTTATTGAATGGTTCTTCGCACAAAATTGCTTTCTCATAATCAGTAAGTTGGGAAGAGTTTGACAGTAAATCCAGTTGACTAAAATATTTCATCATGCAATTTTCTGAAGAAAGTATAATTTCAGATATGTTAATGGAATTTTCTGCAAGAATTTCACCAAATTGTGCATCCGTACAAGTTGGCGTTAGTATATTCAAGTCTTGCATTTCAGCTTGAGTTAAAATACTGGAGAAGGGATTATGATATTCCTCTAAATCTATATACCAACAGTCATCTTCTTTATTTACTATTTTAAAGTTGTATTTAATTGTTGGATCTACCATATTTTCATAAAAATGTTCTTTTGTCGATTTTGAATTGTCAGAAAATATGCTAAGTTTGCAAAAAAGTGCCAAAGATGGATGGTGTTTCAAATCACGAGGCAAATCAAGAAATGAAGTGTTATTTCTTTCAACTTCAATTTCTATGCCATAATCTAAAAGGAAACAATTCATATATTTTGAGTTGGATACTTCGTTTTCTCTAACAGCTCTGTAAATTATTCCACAATATTTTATAGCAAATAGTTCACCAAATTTAGGAAGTCTACCCAGAGGCTTCAGATTATCATTTAAATTTCTTAATAAATTGAAGAAATATTTATAAATGTTGTAATATGATAAATCGTAAATGTAAAGCCCATCAAGTTTCAACGACTTGTTAATTATTATACATGTTCTTTTAATATTTTTGGATTCGAAATACAGTACGTCATTTTGTAAAAAGTTATATTTATAAACATAAGAATATCGTTTCTTAAATAGTTCACACAATTTATCATTTTTAACTAGTTTACCAAATATTGAATTAGAATCCATTTGCATAAAACGTACTCGTTCAACAAATTCATTAAGCAAGTTTCTTACATTATTGATACTGTTTAACAATTCATTATAAAATTTTTCATTTATATCATCCATTACAAATCGAGATATATTTCCTCCGAATTGTGCAAGTTTTTCTAAAGGTTCCTTTATTATATTGGACAACATTATTGTTTCACTTAACAGGTGTATACAAGTTTCGCTGTATTGTGATAAAGTATTATATTTCTCCATTACCTCGAAGTTTTGATGAAAAAAATTAACTTCCCTTTTCTAATATTTAGATTAAAAATTATATACCTAGTCAGTCCAATTCAAAATTTGAATTGAAAATAGAAATTTGCTAACGGGTCATTTTTTTAGAGGTGCAAAAAGTGTGTTCGACACGTAGTTATACAAGGTGCGTTCTCTGCTACATTTAAGTGACACTAAGGTGAATTATTTATAGAGTGAATAATGTCAAAATTGACATCCGAGTGTAACGTTACAACTTTTTATTAAGAATAAAGAGCATTTTTTTGTGCAAAAAACAAATGTAGGAATTCAAATAAGTAGTGTCAAAAATACTTATACGTAGTGTAGGAAAATAGTTTTTCTTCTAATAAGAAAGAGTAAAGAAAAATTTTAATTAAAAACAAACAAAATAATTCAATAATTTTGAATTTAATTTGAAATAAAAATTTTTAATTTTAAAATTCAAAATTTCAATTTATCTTAAAAATAAAATCTCTTTTCTTTTGTGTTGAAATTTCCATTTTTCCTTTGACTTTCTTAATTGAAAAAAAAATAATTTATAAACAACAACAAATCGCTTAGAATTGTTAGAAAAAAAAAAACGAAAAACTAAATAAAATTTGACTTACATGCAGCGTTCCCACTTGGATGCAATTGCATCCATTTGGATGCATTTTTTGCTTTAAATTTAACTTGGATACAAAGATACTCTAAAATTCCGAAATTGGCTACATTTCAAAATTTTGCTGAAATATGGATACATTTATTTCTCAAACACTAAATAAATGTTACAAAACTGTAAAATGCTGCTCGTACTAAAACGCGAAATTGCTTTGTTCTTGATGCATTGGCTGTACATGTTTTTTAAAATTTTTCCGTTTTAATGGTGAATTGTCTTTAGCACATAATTCAACTACTACAGAAGGCATATATGCATATGTTTTTTCTGACCTTAACTTTCACATAATAGAAGATGTATGTGATTTCTTAAAGAGTTTACTATACATAAAAAAACCAACAATAGGACGGCTTGGTATAAAAATTCTACTTTATGAATTTGGATACATTATGGATACATTTTTTCCTTGAAATTGGATACATTTTGTTTTTACCAAGTGGGAACACTGCTTACGTGAAAGTATAGACCACTCCACGAGAGCGAATTAAATTTCACCTCACTTGCTTAGTAAAGAAGTACATAATAACTTTTCTCCCGTGATGAGTTTTTTTTACCAAAAATAATAATTAAATTTTTTGACAATTTTAATTTTTTATTTTTTTTTTCAAAATGTCATTTCAACTTATAACGGTTGACGTTGTTCCAAAAATTTGTTTTGGTCAATAATTTTCTTATAAAACGCTTTTTAGCCAGCGCAATAATCTCTTAAGTTTGAGGACAGGTATCTCCATAGTTTAAAATTTTTGAAATGACCAAAAATTTTTTTTTTATGATTTCCAAATTTGCAATATTTGCCGAATGAAAATTAGTTGAAAAAGTAGAATGAAAAGTTGAATGAACGAGTAGTAAAAAATGAGTAAATTAGTAATATTATTTTTTCTTTGACTCATAAAAATAAACTTATCACTCAAAAAAAAGTAAAAGAACAGACTTAAAAGTACATACCTATTACACATATGGGTGCGCTTTGACATCTTAAATAAATAAACTTTGCTAGACATAAGAAAAATATTAAAGTTGTATGTACAATACATATGAATGGTATACAGATTCCATATGAAAATACTCTAAAAAAATGGGTAGAAGGTATTTGCGTGTTTTTATAGCATATAAAGTCATAGATTACAACTTAATCTCCGAGCATACAAAGTTATAGATTAAGGATTCCGTCAATATAAGTATGTATGTACTCACATGTGTACATGTCGAAATAATTTATGAAATATCGAAATCTTATGCAGTGAAGTTTGTAGTGTATTAAAACCTATTCTAATAATTGGATTTTAAACTTTATTTCAATTGTAGACAAATTTTGATTTTAAATAAAATTATACTAATTTAAAGTAAAAGAACTTAATATAAAAAAAATTGAAGATTAACACTGACAAGAGGGAGTGTTTAAATCAATGGTTTTTAGATACGACAGTCGATATAGTCATTTTAAAAATAAAGTTCAAAAATACCTTTGACTCTGGCTAATACTTTCGCTGTATAAAATCTGATTCATAAGCCACATATTAAAAGTTTCTTCTAACTGTATAGCATCACTATCATCAAGTGACTCCGATAACAAGCCTGGATCATCATAAATCAAATTTTCTCTTGCAACAGATATTATTTGATCAATTTGATTATTTTCGATACTACTAGATACTAAATTAAGCATAGTTTTCCACATTTCAACTCTTAATTTTCGTTCAGACATTATTAATTTAAAATAAAAAAACTAATTAAAGATCACAAAACTTTACAAATCACTCCAATATTTTCGCGGTAAGTTTTGATTTGACAGTTCATTTTAGAACAATGTAAACAAATTAAATTAGCTGAAAATTGAAAGGCAAAATTGAAAGGCATTAATTTCAATACCGTTGCACAAAAAAAATTTAAAATATCTCTTTTGGTACGTTGGTACATAATGTACAAAAGTTAAAATATATTTTTTATAAACTTTATTGATAATGAATAAATGATACATGAGAAAACTATTGATGTAATATTTAGCCTTAATTTACTTACAATTCGTATAATAGAGTAATGAATTTTCAATGTGAGTAGATTTATACATACATACATACATTACAATACAAAAAACTTATTAATTTTGAATTAAAATGTTAAAAGCCGATGATTGCAATATATCGAATCCTTTGTGCAATATGCAAACGTATCTTACTCCGCAGTCAACTAAAAATTTAGAAAATAGAACACCATTTTCATGTACTTTACTTATAATAACTACTATTTTATCATTCATCATTTGTTCTAAATTTTCGACATTTAGAGATTGTAGACGATGGTCTCCTAAAAGAACAGAATTAAAAGGTATATTTATACTTCCAGGGACATTTAAACGCATATAGTCTTGTCTACCACGAAGATCAACTCCTATAACTTTATCCGGAGTATTAATTATAAGGTCTATAAAATCTTTTGCACTTATTCTTGGGCAAATTTCATTTTGGAGTTCCGATAAACTTATGTTTGAAATATCAAATTCAGTTGGATCGTTTTGATTAATAACGTGTTTTCGCCATGAAATACTTTTAGGCGTAAAAATATACATTTTTTGTGTTTCAATAACACATGTTTCCATTACAATGTCAGGCAAATCTGAAAACAGCAAAATACATTCATTGAAACCAGAATTTAGCAAAGTTGTACGTAACTGTTTTAAAACGGAAATTCCAATAAACAGAGGATATGAATTATCACCAAGTATTAATTTATCCCATAAGTGGATTATTTTATGTAGTGGGAAAACATGTGAAAACATGGTTAAAAACCATGGTATTGCGAACAATTGCGGAATAAAATTGAAACTAATTAAATGCTTCGCCAAAACTGGTTCATGAAATACTATTAATTGCGAAAATTTTCCTAAATATTCATTTATAATAGCCGAGTTATCTTTTAGAAAAAACCAGTGTAAATATTTTGGAATAAATTTGTAAAGACTTAGAAAAGCCAACTCTTCGTTGTTAAAATTTAAGTAAAGAAAAGGTGCAGTTAAAGAATCCAAACCTTGCCAATAAACATATTGTGGGTGTGAAGTTACCCAAGCTTTTAGAAGCCGTTTAAGTTTTCTGTGTCCTTCTGGAGAAGATAGTAGTTCATCATATTGATGACATCGAGGTATATCTAATTCTATTTGTCTATCAGTAGACGTGGGCGTCACTTTGTCAATTTTTTCATAAGATCCGTCTGATATAACGTCTAATAAAGCTGCCCAAATTTTACCGCGTAGTAGAGGTGGAATATCAATTTCCGCTTCTTTTATTATAGTCTCTCTTGTAAAAGGATATCCTTTAAGTAAAGTTGAAAAAAGCATAACACGAAACAACTGATACTCCGTGTCACGTTCCTTAATAACTAACGGATATTCAGCCATTGCAGTTTTGGACTGTGATAAAAGTTTTTGCGAGTATATTGAAGGATAATAAGTGGTTGCGGCAACATTTTTTAACCTCTCAATTAAGTTATTCATTTTAAGCATTACAATGCGATTATCAAACAAATGATTTTGACTGCGATTGGGACCAGTATTTGTTCCATCTAAACAAATGACTCGAGGGACTGAAAGAATTGGAGCTTCACTTCGTATCAGTCCTTCTTTTTTAAGTTCTACTTGAACATCACCACCAGCTAATTGCCAAAGGTAATAAATTTTATCCAAAGAACCACTTAAATGCTGCAAATTTGGATTTATGTCGATTTTGTTTTGAAGTAAATCTATATTACAAAATATGTTTGAATTCAAAATTTCTTCAGCTGTTGGCCTATCCTTAACAGATATCGACAAACATCTGTTTAATAAGTCGCGAATAGCTACATTTATGTTTAAAAATTTATCAAAGCAATTATGTTCTCTTGCTATTTTTTCAAAAATATTTTTCGAGTTATTGCAAAACGAAAGTATTCTTCGCATAACGCTCGCTGGATTTAGATTGTTCCACAATTTACATCCTAGTAAAAGTTCCATTGTTATGACACCAATTGTCCATATATCACTTTTAGAGTTATTTCCTGAGCCCATCAGTCGTTCTGGAGATGTATAACGAATATTACCGAATGGAAAAGTAACATATTCTCCATTGTTGGTCATATAAAACAAACCATAATTAAATAGCTTTACGTTAAAATGCTCATCAACTAAAATATTTTTAGGTTCTAAATGTGGGCAAAGAATTCCATAGCTAGTATGCAAAAAATGTAATCCTCTACAAATTTGAAACATAATGCGTAATACTGAATAATCTTCTAATATAATACAAGACAGTTTATCTTTCAAATTTATCCCATAGTATTCCGATACTACTACAACTCGTTCATGTTTACTTCGAATGACGTCCAAATACTGACAAAGATTTTCATGTTTTATGTCCATCAACTGTTGCGCTCTCCCTAATATTGCGATTGAATTTGGCGTTAATGGCAAACCGTTTTGACCGCAAACATCCCCGGGATGAAGTTTTCCAAAAAATGTAACAGCTCCCATCTTTGACTTATCCGATGGTTTCATAACTTGTACAAATGATGTGTTACTAAAAATTCTAAATGTTAATAAAAATTTTAAACTAAATCATATTATTTTTACAAACAACCAGACGCCATTTCACCACTTACACCGCCCCTCATTACTGAAAATATATGCTAAATCGTGTTTAAAAAAAAAACAAAAATGCAGCCAATTTTTTATTTATAAAAAATTTAATGTATGTGTTTTGACGAGTACTTAGGTATGTATTATAGAAAAGGAGCCAATGTCAAAATTATCAGCTGTTTGTAGTCAATATTCAATTTCAAATCGATTCAATTTATTTCAAATCAATTTCTTATCAATAATGTTAACTTAGTATTCATTGCAGTTTGCACTTTCATTTCATTCCCGTTTATAGGTGTTTGAAAGTCATGCGACAAAAATATCGTAACAATAAGTTACGATAACTTCTGAGACATGAAAATAGGATAAAATTTGTATGAAAAATAAAGTGCCAAATTGCTGAATATTTTAATTAATATTTCTTCAGAAACTATTGTATAGACTTGGAAATTCACACAAAAAAACGTGAACATTTTACATGTGCTCGAATTTAAGGGTTAATTGTGTCATATATTGTTAGCTTCAAATGTATGCTGCCAAAAATGCGACTTTTACAAATTTAGAGAAGCAAAAGATTGCGTATACCTGGTACAGTAGATTCACAGTATGAGGTAGTGACATAGAAGTAAAGTAATTTATAAAGAAAAAGAGGTGTATGCATACTGATCACTTTATGAAATATAATCATTGCCGAATTATAGGAAATATGTTTTAAATTTATTAAGATTGAAATGAAAATAAAAAATTTAAAAATAATTTATTTATTTTATTTATTAATAATAATTATTAATTACAAATGCTTAACACTAAAAATTTAAAATATTTTCATACAAAAGTACATATTTACCTCTCCACATCTTAAAGCAACAAATGAAATTTTCGTGTCGGCTTTTTTGCCTCACACACAATATTACATCCCAAACACTTCAAATAATGTTCACCCATTATTATAAAAAAAATTTTTTTTTTCACAACTACTTAAAATTTTTTTTAATATTATAGGTACGTCTTTTTAAAATTTATTTTTATTATTTTTCATATAAATTATAATAATTTTTTTTAAACACTTCTTTTCCGCTTTGCTTTTATAATATGAATACACATTTTTTGCCACCTTGTACTGGAATGAATTACAGAAATTATTGTGTCGCTTTTAAAATTCTTAATATTTTTCCCTATACTTTATATAGGAACAAATAATAAAGTGTCGCCTTTCAAAATTGCATTATAAAAAAACAGGTTGACATCTATCGCGTACTCTTTCCCTTTCCCAAAAATTCTTATGTGTATAAAAATGAAAATAAGAAGGTATACAGCTTAACTCTTTTAACTAAGGGAATTTTTTGTATACAAATATTGGTGAGTGATTGCATTAGTGTGATGTAAACGGAGAGTCGAACTACTTGTTAGTAGATATACTTTGTTTTAAACATTTTAAAATAAGAAAATTTTTTCGAGTTCCTTTTCCAGGAGTAGGATTGAAATAAGCTGAATTCGGTTTTACTGTAACTTTAGTTTGTTTTTGATAATTTTTCAACAGCTTTTTAATGTATTAAGTATAAAGTACAGACTAGTTTAATTAGCCTTTATTCTATTGTATGATGCTATAAACAAAATCAGAATGCAAAGATCTACTTCAAAAATTTGTATAAAAAAAAAACAAAAACCTAAATCTGCTGTCAACAACAGATGTATGATGCCGTCTTAATTTATACTACAGCTGTCAAGTCGTACTATTTGACAATAGTATGTAATTAAAAATTTTTCAAAAAATTTTAGGGGGTTCTTTGAAGTTGCGTCTTTTCTCTTTTGTGCACCATTTTAACTATGTATGTACATATGTATACTAAAGCTTAATTTTTTACGGCTATTTTGGAATAAGTTTTAGCTTTGTTGACTAAGTCTTGTTTGTACTTCAGAATGATCACGAAAGAATTACTACAAACATCTTTGTCAATGCTTGCTTATATCAGTAAATAAAATTATGTATGTAAGTACATAATTTATTCATATAAAATTTCCAAAATGAGAAAAAAGTAATAAATGTTCTAACTTGACTTCTCTGTTCATTTTTTTAAGATAAATAAAGTTCTTTTTGTTTTATTAGACAGACACATATGTATTACATTCAGACCTCTTGTTCTTTCTTGTTTCCATTTACATTTACAAATTTTAATGCATGTTTGGATGTTGATCAAGTACATAGACGACTAAAAAGGCCAGAACGCTTGAACTCATCGGCTAGACAAATACAATGTGCAGGGAACTCTTTAGTTGCAATGTCACTTAAAAAAATGGCATTTTCTTAGTTGTAATGTCACTTAAAAAAAATGCATGTCCAAAATCAATTTACGTAAAACCATCCGAATTCATGTTTTGGTTAAAATAAAATTGTTGATACATTATCATTATTCACCAGTTAAAATGAATAGCAAATATGCTATAAAATGGCTTTAAACTGTTTTTGACATTAATCCAAGAAGTAATTTCTTGGATTTGAATTATTTCAAAAATGTGATTATCTGAATGAAATTGTGTTTCACTACGTTATTTACTGTTAACAAGTTTTTGTAAACATTTCCTATACAACATGTACTTATAAAATACAATTTAGCAAGTTTTTCTGGGTCAATAGTTTACATCTTATTTCAAAATATCAAAACAATAATATTTACTGATTCAGTGTATTTTCTAAATAATGTTCAAACATCTTATTTTTTAGATTTTGATGTTGTTTTCGGCGTCGGTTTTTTAGTAACAACAACTTTTTGTTTAGCTTGCTGACTCTTTAGAGCTTTAACAATTTTTTGTTCTTCTATTAAAAATGCACGAACTATTCTTTCACGTACACATGTGTGGCAAAGAACACCTCCGTAAGTACGACGAACAGTTTTCTGGCGTTTTGAAATGCGAGATCTCTCACTTGGTCTGGTTGGTTTAATGCCTTTTAATTTTTCTTTACATTGTCCACACTTTGGAACAGATTTATTTTTTTTTACATATTGGTAAACTAATCTACCACCGGGTGTTCTTACACTAAAAATTGAGTTGCATTAAAAAATAAACAAATTAAAAATAATTTACCACTTACATTCGCCTTCTGTTCGATTTGGTATTGTAAGACAATCGTCTTCTTAAAGTAAGCCGTTGAACCATTGCTATAAAACCTATCAAAATATAGCATTATAATATCAACATTAAGTAAAAAATGTAATTATTTGTGAATATATTTATTAAATTGAATATTCATTGTGGTCGATGATTCGAAATTCTTTTGAATAACATAAAACCACATCCACCTACCTTTATTAAGCAGGCTAGAAAGGAAGTGAACATATTATTACAATGACATTTTGGTTTACTGGGATTTTCTTCAGGAACTTTATTTGCAGCATTGCCACTTTGTTTTAAATCAATTAAATTTCTAACATTTGATGAGAAAGTAAAGAAACCGTAATAATATTACATAGGCTATGCATTATTTAACAAATTTGTTTTTAATAGTGTTTAGCATATCGCGGTTTAGCATTGTTTTAGCTTATGAGTGTATCTATAAGTTCTAGGATCACAGGATCCATGACTGATCTTAATTTAATACTTTGTACTAATTTGGAATAGATGAGTTGTTGTAATTTCCGATATTACTATTTTTTACAAATGTTTTTAATAGACCATCAAACAGAGGAAAAATAATATATTTGATATTGGTGATAACAACAATGTTTTTTATAAATTAATGTTAAAAAAAATTGCTTTTGCATATTGAGTTGTTCACAAATATTTAAAATACTTAAACCTACATTATTCTACCTTGGTGTGCCGAAATTAAAATGCATGGAATTTATAATTTGTATAAGAAAATCTAAGGTGAAACTGGAGAATAGACCTTTTCGGCCTTATCAACTATAATAACTATTTTTAAAATATTTAAAAATATCATTGAATATTAGAAAAAGATAAAAATAAACCGGGGAATTTGCAAAAAATTTAAAAAAAATTTTTCGTTTTGGTTTTTATCAAAAAAAATTCATTTCGCATTTCGCATACATATAAGTATTTGCTTTGTTAATTTTTATTTAGTCAATGGGTTTGATTGTGTTTTATTCCGATGTTACAAACTTTTACTTTTATTAAGTCACCTTAATTATATGTACTGTTGTTTCCGCTTTTTCTGTTTTTTGCTTATTTCACATAAACTAAATAACATTAATTTTTCTCAAAAAATAAAATATTTAAATGTCAAAGTGAATATTTACGAAAGTTGGTGTAAGGTCAGTTTACATTCAGTAAAGAAAAGTGTAAGCAGGAAGTTAATATTTCTGGGTTTATCTAAATTTTGACATAACGCATAGCTAAAAAAGTTTTGTTTATATATTACAGTATTACATATTTATGTTTCCACTTCAACAGAAAATTTTAAGTTTCTTACATTAAATTGAATTTAAAAGTTTTACAAAAATGTTAAACTTTTATTAAATTAAATACGGAATCCAGTGATAAAACATAGAGCGCTCTTAAAATAAGGTAGAATAAATTTTTAATATACAAAACATTATGTGTATTATTGCAAGAAAATTTATACATGTATTTAATTACAATTATGACTAACTAGATAATTTCCAACTTTCGTATAATTTTAATACACATATTATATTATTATATTTATTTACATCGGGAATTTTACATTTTGAATATTGTGTTGCCAAAAACCAAAGTATATGTATAAATATAGAAAATATACATATCATTTAAACAATATATATGTCATACAATAATAATGCAGAAATATATATATATATATATCTATATAATGATAGTTCTATATATGAGATATTATATTTACTTATGTGTTCCTAAATTAATAGATAAATAGAATTTCCTTTCCAGCGTAATATATCTTTCTATACAAATCATTTACAAATATTGTAATGGGAAAGGATTTTATTGGTGCATTTTCAAACATGGATATGTAAATAAATTTTTTTAGAATGTTGTGTATCTTACTAAAATATGTGTTTTTTTCTCAGATATCCTTCAAAGCATCCCGCTTTAAACAAAATTACGGAACTTAAAATTAGAACATGTACTCAGTATAACAGACATGATGAAAAATCTAAACAAGAAAATTCTGTTTTAAAAGCAGCAAAGAATGGTAAACAATTTCGTATATACCTATAGGCACAAAATAAAGAAATTAACAAGTGATTGTTTTAGGATTAGAAAAAAACTGTCATAATAATTTTCAAAGTTTTGAAGAGACTTCATGCAACAGGTAAATACAGAAACCAATCACACAGATTTTTAATAATGATAAAATTTTAATTAGAAAAATACAGAATGGTTTGAAAAAATTGTTGAATGGAGTTTCTAAATTTAAAAATGTGCAATACAACAATGATGTGGTAATTATCTCTTCTGACGATTCTTTGTCAATGGACGAATTCAAGAGGAAAGTAAATGAAAAAGATAATGATACATACATTATAGAATATTTGAAAAATTCAAGAACACACAATGGTAAAAATCATACCAGCTGCAAAACTTTTAAAAGAAGAAACGTTATCGTTCGGATAAAAAGATCACACAAAATTCAAAATCTATTGAATAAAAATAAACTCCGCTGCGTATCTTCAAATACTCTTTCAAATAAACTTACAAAACAATTGAAAAGTCAATCAAAAAATAAGGAAGCTGACAGTTATATAGATTCAAATAAGAAAACATGGCGCAATTCACTTAATGATAATTTAAATATTTTTAGTTCAAAAAAGTGCAATTATTCAACCAGGAATCGAAGCTTGACTCACACTACCCCTTGTGATACAGAACCTACCACTTTAGACAAATCTCTACAAAAATTTCCATTGTTCGAAACAATTTTTATAGACACTATAAACATAGAGGATTCAGAAAATTCATCATCACTTCATACATCTCCCAATAAGGAAGCTATCGACTTGAAATTCGAAAAAAAGCATCAAATACATCATAAAGAAGAAAATAGTTTGCACCGCAGATTAATTAAAAGTAATATTGCAACTAAAAAAAAGGCAAGAACACGTTTAAAAAACTTTAAAAAGTTGGAAAGCGGTATAAATTTAAAAAATTGCATAGTAAAAGTAAAGAACTTAAGTTTAGCACAAATAAAAAAAAAAATAAAAGAAGCAAGATACCGAGCAAACCGTCGTAGAAGAAGTTGGTCAGTATCTGATGTAGCACGCGAACATGATCGTCGTTTGAATTTTTTCCCAAAAGCTGGGCCATCTCACATCGACTACCATGCTCTAATCAAGCTCCCTACAGTAAAACCAAAGGTGCCAAGGACATTGAAAAGAAAGCGAGAATAAGTTTTCTCAAAAGAGTAGGATAATTATAATTTAAAGATGATTTAATAAAGATTAATTTAGTACTTTTATAATTTTATTAGATCTATTATTTTTGTTCTAATTCATAAAATATTTTATAGCTTTATGAGATCTTTATTATTTTTATTCTAATTCAAAAATATTAAAATAATTCAATTCATAATATTTAATTCTAATTCATATTGTTCATTATTCTGATAATGTAGCAATGTATCTACTTTAGCAACTTCCTTTTATTTCTTAAAAGCTTACTTAATATTGTACTCTTAATAACTAAGCTTCTATTAATTTAAGCTCCTGTTATATAAAATTTTCATTACCATTCTCAAACGCTGCTCTTTTTTTTTGAGTAGGTAGTATTCTAGAAATTAATGCAGAAACAAACTGATTGTTCCGGAATTGTCTATAATGATACATAAATGTATGAGTGGAGCTAGAAGATAATCATGATTGCTTTTTATTTAGATTTAATATCGTAAGCAGTATTTATTTTTTCCAATAAAATTTTTAAAATTAGTTTGGAATTGATTCGATTTTATTTAAATTCTGGCTCAATCAATTTTACTTTGAAAATTTTCTGGACGATAGCTTCCATTAGTACTAGTGTACTTTATAATAAGAATAATTCAAAATTTTTATTGAGTGGCGTAAGTACACACAATATAGGTATGTATATAGTAAGCAATTACTAATTTCTATATTAAACTCAGATTAACTATTAGATTTTGTCATATACGTAAACAATTACTAAGATTTAATCTGATTTTGATGAAAGCCATATATGAGGAGCTCAGCGCAATAGTGGCCTGCTTGCTAAAATGAAATTTCGAGTCAATCGCGATTGAAATGTTAAATATTTAATTTTTAAGAAAATTTTTTAAAAGCAAAAACAAACTTTTGTTAAAATAGAGTGAAAAGAGGAGAAAACTAAGTATTTTGAAAGTATTGAACATAATAACTCATTTTTTCCAAAAATGTTGGATAGGCCACTAATGCGCTGAGCACCTCATAGTAAAACACAGTTACTTACTTTGGTATGGAAAGTCATATATGTATGTAAACACTGTTAGTTACTGCTTACATTTACGACAATATTTACAATTTAATCTGAGTATAATGAAAGTCGTATATGTTAACATTGATTGACATTAAACTTTGTCTGACGGCAAATAATGCGACTTACTCTATTCTCATCAGACTTACTGTATGTAAATTTTTTAAAAGTAAAATGGCAACAATACATAATTGATTTTGTGGAAATTTTAAACCGCAATCAGTTGATTTCTATTTTGGTCATACTTTTCATAGTAAAATTATTAAATTTTGATGTAAAATCTATAATAGCTAACAAACTTTATTGTAGATGTAACATTATATTTTGTAGTAGTCGTCGACAGTAGTTTAGATTTTGTCGTAAATGTAAACGGAACCTTAAACGCACTTATTGCTGAAATATGTTTCCATTGTTTTACTTTTTACCTAGTTAGGGAAAGCTCTACTTTTACGTTAAATAACTTTGCAATTAGAAGACATTACATTACTTTTTACATAAAACTTTTAATAATTTGCAAGTTTGAAGTTTACTTACTAACAATTAGACAAACTTATATGAAGATATGATGAAATTTATTTGCTTTCAAGTTTATTTTATTCAAAAAAATTTTATAGTGAAAAATAAATAAACTTTATGAAGTTGATTATGGCAAATACAATAAATGACCAAAAAGTGTTATTTTTAAGGATATAATATATTTTTTTATTTGACTTGTTAAATTTTATAAAACGAATGAAAGGAGATTTTTAATTTTTAAACTAGTTATCCCTTTTTATTCGTTCCTCTATTTTGCTTAAAAATTCTCAAATTTTAATTAAAATATCTTGCATATAAATGTTTTTGCCTGGTAACCCTAGTTTTATTTAACCAAAATTTCTTAAACTGTAATGCGAGTTTTGATAAATGTCATAATATTCTTAGTTTGTCAAAACGGTGCCGTCAAAACTTATATTTTAATTCAAAATTTAAATTTTGTTTTATTTTGTTGTTGGTCGCGGGTCAATATTTTGAATTTTTAAATAAAATGAAAACAATATATTTTATGTGATGGAGAATTTTGAAGACTATTTAGAAATTCAAAAGAACAAGATTGAAAACGAAAAGCTTCTCCTCCAAAACAAAAACAGGAACAAAATAAATGAAAATCCTTTGGATGACTGCGATAAGGATGTTCGCTTTTTAAAGACTGAGATATGCAAAAGCAATACTGATAGTAATATAATATGTGAAAATGATGGTGTTGAAAAAAATTTGGAAAATTTAGCGCGTTTGGTCACAATTTCCAACACTAGCATTAAGGACTTGGAAACAAATGTTATCTCGGAGATTCCGGAAATGTCTTCCTGTTACCAAAATATGGGTTATTCAAATCCAAATAATAGTTTTTATAACAAAAATAGTAACTTGCAGCATAATGCAAAACATAACTTTTCTAAAGAAGACAACCATTTAAAAAATAACGATTTGAACTTTAAATTTGCTGGAGGTGATGTCAGTATGTTGCATGAAAAGGAAATATCGCATAATAAACAAAATAATTGGACCAGAAGAAATAAAAATGTAAGGAAATTAATTCAATATTTCTGTAGGTACTTATACTTAATTTTATTCAAAATAAAAAGAATTATGCTCTTTATTAAAATTTAAATATGTACCTATATAGTATTTAATTTTTATTTCGAGCAAATAAATTTCATGTAAGTGTAAAATTTAAGGATTATTTTTCGGATTTCACTGATCTCTCTTACCACATATAGTAATCTTAGTTACACGTGCTAACAAAACATTAAATTACACTACTTGCCTATATTTATACACCTACGTTATTGAAAACCACTTACAGGATACAATATTTATTCAATTGCGTGTTTAGTAATACAAAACACTTCAAAATGTTTAGATGTTTTTTTTACGTTTTTTTTTTAATTGAGTGTGTTTGCAATACTAAATTATTTATTTTAGAAGTTTTTAAATGCTAATTTCAAAAAAAAATTGAACGGTTAATATAAAATCTTCCATAAAAATTTATTTAGATTTACCTATGCTGTTATAATGTTAACATTTTAACAATTCGAAAGTGAGAAAAAGATTTTTCGTAAATTCATCAAAAGTGTTATTGTTCAACAAATTTTAACAAATCAAAAGTGTTATTGGTTTTTGATTCGCCCGTTTTAATACTTATATGTATAACGTTAATCAACTATAATTTGTAGTCACAATTTTTTAATATCAAAATTGTTTAATTTGCAAACTCTTGCGGTAATATATTCATTTCACACGTTTTTTGTTACATGTCCACATACATTAATTATACATTAATATACATACATACCTACAAACATTATGTATTTATTTTAATTTAAAAATCAATAGTTATATGAGTAACGGAGACTATTGAGTTGCAGGACAACAAACGTATTCATATGAAAATTGTCATTTTAATTGAAGGTATCTTTTAAGTAATAAGTGAATTTATTACTTTACTTTAAGACATTTTTTGATTTTTCATATTTAAAATAGGTACCTAGGTAAATATGTAGGCAGGTATATACCCCTATATTTCAAAATAATATGCCAATCCACATTTAACTCACATTTAAAAAAAATTTATTCAAGAATCTATTAGACATACCATTATTATATTTAACTTATAAAACAATGTCTTAAATTTTTTTCGTATGAAAAGTCAACAATTCTTTTTTTTTGTATGACCTAAATTTTTTTCAAGTCGCTATGACAATCATCATCGTTAGTTTTATAAAATCCTTTTAATGTGATTATTGTAATTACATATTATTTAACCCCGTTTAATAGAATAGTAAGATGAATACAAATATTTTTTGTTCTTAACAAGTTTTGACGAGGAAACTCGTAGAAATAAAAAATATAAAATATACAATACAAGTATTAACTGGCGTTACATTTTTACTTCCTATCATTTCCAACTGCATGGTATGTTAGGATAATGTAATTCTGGTACGACTTAACCAAAGAACAAGTTGTTGTTCACCAACAAAATTTTTACTCTATATTGTTGTTCAAATTTTCAAAAAATATAGAGTGTCAACTCGAAGAATTCTCATAAACATGGGAGCAGTATAATTGTTTAGGTCTGAATCTATTACTAATTTCTGAAATGATTAAATCAATTCGTTCTTTATATACTATCAATACTCAAAGTAAACTTATGATTATTCATGATTTATTAGCAATAATTAGATTTAAATATCATTGTAAAGATACTTATTTAGGATTGTTTTTTTTGTTATATGTATTGACTAATAAGTAAAAAATAATTAATTACTGCAAAACTATTCAAATGATATTTGAAAATTCAAAGAACTGTTGTGAAGTAACTGCTTTTACACCAAAGTTTTAAAATTTCAATATAACTTTAACACTTCAATATATTCGCCGTTTCGACCATTGCAAAAAAATTGATAAACAAAAAACCAACGTTTATGGAGTCATTGTTCTCTTTCTGTTTGAAATGCTTATATGTTCTAGAATCTAGGGAATCTTACGACCATAATAAATATTCTATCGTTTGCGGTACAATAACATTTTATTGCGCGATTTCGATTTTGAAGTTTTCAAAACATGTTTTCAGATTTTATTTGCTGCAATTTCTCGTGTTCTACTTGTTTAAAAGTCAGGACATTGAACTTTCTAAAATTTTTAGTGTTTGTTCTGCAAAAAAAGTATTTATAATAATTTTATATATAATAATATAATGGTATGAACTACCGTAGGATTGTTATCTAAAATTGTATTTCCTGTCTCAGTCAACTAACAAGGACATAAAAATATATAATGTATTTTTAGGTTGCGAAAAATGGAAAAAAAGCATAAGAATTTTAACCACTAAACTAAACTATGTACATGGGTATTGATATAGCTTTAATATAAATATTTCTTACTTGTTATTCTTATTACCAAAAAAAAAAAAAAACTGAAAAATGAAAATTTTTTATTAGGAAAGCAAAATAATTTCATAAAGTTTTTGTAAGACGATTTGATTGCATGTTGTAAATTGTTTTGAAAACATAATCATACACTATTATAATAATTTCATATAGTAATAATATAAAAACAAATTTCCCAAAGTATCCTTTTATACATTTATGTATATTACAGGGAAGCAATTTTAGAAAGTGTGAGAGTTTAATAGATTTAGACAACTAGAATATAACCACTATTTAAATATTGTAGGCCATATAAAAATTGCTTTATATTTTCATATTTTGATTTTTATTTCGTAATTACATTGCGAATGTTTCTTTTGCAGAGAAACTATCGCAATCACACACATACACGGTTAATTTAAGTACCAGTAAAAAAGGAATAATTAGCTAAATTTTTACTTTGGAAAAATGCAGCTTATTTTTGCGAGTCTTAAAACATTTCGTAAGATATTAAGTAGATAGGATACAAAACGTTTTACAAAAATATATAGAATACGAAAAATTCATTACAAATATAATAACTTGATATTATTATTTTAGCACATAGATTACTAAAGCAAGAAATAAAAAGAACGGTTGAAAAAGTAAATAATTACTTTTTTAATTCCTGTACATACATATACAAATGTTTATTCCATTTTATAAAAAAAAATATTTTAAATTTTAATGTAATTATAAATACTTTCGTTTTTCTTGAATGAGTCTGTACATAAAATTTTTTGATCCGGTTCGCGTTTTCAGTTTAAATTATAAAATCAAGGTAATAAAAATAGTTAATTGTTATAGTTTGTTTGCAATGGTTGTAAAAAATTTCGTTATTCTTATCCTTGATTTTATTTATTCTTGCGCTGAAAGCCGACTAGAACGTTCAATCATGTATATAAGTTTTCTAGTAATTGTAAATAACGAACAATATTCAATTATTAATATGCAAATTGATTTTTTTTTAAAAAAATATGTTCCAGGATGATATGGAGCAATGGATTTCGGATACTTTTTATTCATATTTTCCTAGCTTAAATGCAGAACAAACGAAAAGGGAAAATAATAATCGTGGTAGACAATTGGATTATCAGAATTATTTAAAAAAGGCAATAATTGTAATTTAGAAATAAAAAATTATTTGAATTAAAAAATTTTTATTTAAAGATAGCAAATAGTGAAAATCAAACTATTGAAAGTAAAGATAAGGACTTTCAAAATTTGAACAATGCAAATTTAACTCGCAATGCCGATAAGTCAGAAATGGAAATTATTGTTACAACAAATCCAAATTATGAAAATCCTTTAAAGCAACGAGAAAACTATAATCAAACTGCATTGCGGCCTTCAAGCACTAGAGATAGGTTGTTAGAAGATTTGAAGCATACTGAACTATCAAACATCATTTATGGGGACGCAGCTCAAAGAAGGAAACAAGCTGAAGCAGAAGTAAATAAAATTTTTTAAAATATGTTATAACTAAAAAATCTGATTATTTTTTAGAGGGAAATACAAAAAAAGAAGGAGTACCAAAGGGACTTAATGAGACAAATTGAAGAAAAACGCCGAGAAATTGAGTTATTAAAAGAAAAAGAGAAAATGGAAGATGAAAATTTGACTAGGTAATTATAGAAATTTTTTACTTTTTCAATGATTTTAGTATAAAAAAATATTTATAGAAAATTGGAGGAGCAATTAAAAACAATAAAATTACAAGAAGAACTTGAAAGAGAAAAAATTAAAACTGAAAGAGTAAGAGCAAAATTTATTTATAAAAAATCATTTTTTATCTTAAATTATATTTTTTATTTAATTTAAATTTAAGGCTAAATTCGAGATTGAAAGAAATAAAATTATTCGTGAACAGCTTATTTCAAAATTAGAGAAAGACAAATTACAAGTAAAGCCTCCTGAGAGTTCTTCATGTGAAACAAAGTCGGAAAATGAAAAGGAGTTACATGATGCGTTTTTAGTGGACAAAAACAAAAATGAAGTTTATCGTTTTTTTACAAATTCTGCTCAAGATTACCGAAAGCCCCTTCAAAATCATGTTTCGACCGATGCTTTCGATGATTTCGTTAATAGTAGTAGTGCAAACGAGCAAATTCTTTTAGATTCACCAAATTTTGATTCTTTTGTCCGAAATGAGCACACACCGTTACTTCCAATAGATTGTGCACATGGAAATCGCAAAATTTGCCCATTTTGTGAAATTAAATTGAAAAACTATGAAAGTTGGTGCCCCAGTTGTAAACAACAAATACTAGATGATGGTGCAGAAAACCGCACAATGTTATGTGAGAATTGTGAAAACCAGTATTTAATTTGTTCTGCGTGTGATAAAAAGAAAATAATTTGTGAATTTTGTCATCGAAAAAGAAATATTTGTGCAAGCTGTACCAGAAAATTTTGTGTTCATTGTGGGAATTCTATTAAACCAAATATAAAGAGTAAACTTAAAACTTCCAAAACCGATTTAGTAAATAATCAAATGTCCGCAGTCCCTTCAGAACATTCTTTCCAAGTTTTAGAATTGTCGAATAGTGAAAATCATGAAGTTCCAATAAATAACTCTAAGCATTCCAAATTTTCAAATAATTTAGATAGAGCAATGAAATTCTCAACAAATTACTCTACGAATTCAATATTCAATCCGGAAAATAAAAGTTTGAATTCTTCATATTTTGAATTTGGAGTCCGAAATGGAGAAATTGTTGTTAACAATAGAATATATAACAACACACACAAAAGAACTTTGAATAAAAACCTTCCAAATGGTGTCAAAAAAGCTACAGCAGATAACAAAACTAAAACTAAACTAAATATCGAAAATACTTCCCTTAATGAAATGCCTCTTTTGAGGGAAGTACCAAAAAAATTTACTTTAAAAAACAAAAACGAAACAAAGCATAAATTATATAGGGATATTAAAAGTACAAATAGCAGCATTGATGATTTATCTCGAAAATGGGAGGTGAGTTACAAGATTTTTGCTATAAATTAATTAATATTTGTATAATCAATTAATATAAAATTTATACAGGTTCCTGCTGTAGAAAAACGAACCATTTCTACAAATTCTCCTATAGTCTTAACTCAGTTGGGAGCTGTGCGTCGACAGTTACAGATGGAACGATTGCAAGCTGAAATTTCGAATTAAAATATTGAACATAGTTTTTGAATTTTAACATAAGTAAAATGTGAAAAATCTTGTTAATATCTTGTGATAAATTGAAAAATAAACTGCATAATTATATACATTAAAATTATCTAGATTTAAACTATCATAAATTTTTGTTTATAGCACCTGCGTAAAACTTTTTATAGCTAACCATAAATTGGTAATTTTTAAAAAAAAATGGATCTAGAACTTTTCTAATGCCTGGAATAATACACTTAACAACTTTTATAACTAATTTTATAACTTTTTAATATTTATTATACCGCTTTGTACAACTATTTGGTAGAAACACGTGTACGTCTATTCCATGCAAAGTTAACGCCATAATTTTTTACACGTTCCTTTTTTGGTTTTTCGTCGCCTTCAATGTACCATCTCCAACCGTTCTTTTCACAATATTCTGCAGCTTCGTCAGCAGAATTAAAGCGCACTTCCATATTTGATAAAGGGTCTCCCCTGAAATAAAACATTTTAAACATGTATCATTTTGTTTTCAGGCTTATTTTTATACGAAGATGCCCATCCCATTAAGGGGTTTTCCCAACGTTCTCGGTTATCAAATTCGATTTTCCAACATTGAATATTATGAGTACCACTTTGCATTGCATTTTTTGGAGGCATTGATATCCTGACACGTCGAGTTTTGACATGCTCTTCTGGTACACCAGTTATTGGGCTTATATCTACTTTTTTGGGAACTGTTATTGTTCCTGCAAGTTTATTTTTCTGCTCTAATTCTTCAGGACGTGACAATACAACAGACGAATCGATTGTTGGAGCCTCATTTACAACATCCGACTTATGTCTAATTTGTGATGAAGTCAATATTGTTCTGGACCTAAAAAAAATTTATTAGTATGACATAACAACGAATACGATGCCAAACATAGAAATCATTTTTCCATGTTGTTGCAATTATAAATAACCGCAAATTTTCTTACCAAACAGAGCATTGAGCCTTTGGTAGGAAACGAAGTATTGTGGACATTATGTTATTGTATAACAAAATTTTTATTTTTCCAAAAAAAAATAAAAACTTAAATAACTATTTGTCATAAATCATAGACAACTTTTAGAATAAGCTGTCATTTAAGTATGACTGACTGGTAATCGATTATACTATCAGCTGATATATGTACAAATGTATTATATGAAAATCCAGCCAACAAAACACTTTTCATTGTTTTTATGTCCGACAGATGGCAAAACGATAATTTGAAATATAAATATTAGAATAATATTTAGCTGAAAAGAGATACAAAATTTATCTGCCCTCTTTTAAATTGTTCTATATAAACTTCTACAAATTACTGAAAGGATCTACAAAAAATTATGAAAGTTATAAAAGTATATACAAAACTATGAATCCACCACTAAATAGATGGCAGTAATCGCAATATTATTTTAACAGAAATAATTAAATTTTGATTTTCAAAATTGAATTTTTCTTTTGAATTTAAAAGTCCATCATTTTTGAAAAAATAAATGTAAAAGTAACTTGTCAAAATACTTTATTTAAATATGAAAATAAAATTTTATTGTGACTAACTATTGTAATCTATTTAGCGTTTTTTTCTAAAGTTTGATTTTAATTGGTTTGTTTGTATTGATGTGAAGCTTCTTTGTTGCACAACTCTTTTAAGCAGCAAAATAATTATCCAAAATTTCCATTGTTTTTTGTTCCTTTTCTAAAAAACATCTAATATTTCATGTCTAAACCATGCCTTTTATAGATTTGTATCGAAAATGCTGCCAGTATTGAGGTTCGAAATTGACATTTTAAGAGACGTTTATTTTTAAATTATGGGGTCTCTTGATTTTTTTTTTTAATTTTTTAAATTTTAATAATATCCGAAAATTTTTAGTCTCGTCCAAATAATTTTTTTTTTATAATTATTTGATTCGCTTTTTTTTAAATTAGTGCCAATTGATTTTATAAAAATACTACAAAATTTCAAAAGTGTTTTGTTTCAAGTTTGACTGCCGCATTCGAACTGCGCTGAAGGTTTTCTTGCCCCATTTTGGAAATCATGTTACTTTTTCTGAATATGTAAATATTTATATAATTCTTTTTATAATTTATACCTACGTACATACATATTGACAGAATAGTTTAATACCTGTAAATAACGTATGAATAATATGTATACTTAATTGCATGTATAATCTAATTTTTTTACTTATTGCTTTTTTCAACGCGATTGAAAATCCTAAGTGATTAAAAAAACATAAAAATGGCATCTCTAATATAAACTTTACGTGATTTTCATCTTATGTTGAAATTCTCGGTTTTACTATAAACATAATGAGAAAAAATGAAACATCCAATCAAAAAAATTATTTAGTTAAAGAATGAGATTTAAAATGAGATTTAAATTTAAGATCATATAAGTATGTGTTATAACTGAGAATTTAAATAATTTTTATTTTTCATGGTTCATGCGCTATTTTGCATACCTGGATGTACTTAGGTGACATGTAAATATAATAAATGAACTTATTATTCATAATATGTATGTATGTATGTATTTCTTCGAAAAATTAAATTTTCAGCGAGTTCTTTTAATTTTTTTTTGTATTGTATGTACTATCATATTGAAGTTTCTTAAATCTTCCTAAATTATCAAGTTAATTAAATAAACTTTCAATTGAAATTTATTTACTAAATAATGTTTTTCGCAAATCGAATAAAATTACTTATTCAGCAGATTATCATACGCCGCTAATCATCGATTGGGGACTTTCATGAACGTAGTAGTGCAAAAACATAATGTAATGTATATTATATAATATATTTTTGACTATATGTACTACACAAACAAAACAGTTCATATGATTTAACTCTGCTACTCATATTAATTTCGCCATTATTGCGAAAATTTATGTTATTTCGCAATGTTTATGAACGCACATCAGTGCCTACCTAACTCATATGGACATAGTTTTTTGTTAAAAAAAAAAATATGTACTCTTTAATATACTTTAAATAATTTGAAATTATATAACAAATATTTTAAGAATAATGTTCCGCAATAATATTCTTAAAACTTAATATTTTATTAATCATGTGTATGTAATTTTAGTCGAAAATTATTCGAGCGCTAGGGCAAAAGAGTTTCTTTCATTACCATATTAATAAACAGATAAAATTAACTTAAATAGTAATAATCTCAGAAAAATTAATAAATAATTGAATTGAAGCATGTTTGTCTAAATAACACTCTGCAGTTCTAGTCGTTATATATGTGTATTTATTACAAATTTATGCAATACATAAATAACATTAATTTTTCTAAACTATGACCTAATTCTTTTCTTTGGTACTAAGTACCTCTATATGTACACAATATGTGCATTCGTACATTGTACATATTTTAATTTTTTATAGCATATATGCTATTTATATTTCTCTAAAAAAATTTTTGATTGAAATATTTAAGGTATATTGCCACTTTATTAAAAAATTTGTTTTATTATTTCAGAATCAAATTATTTATTAAAAAATAGTATATCAACTTAATAAAAATAGTATATTAGAATTTCATTATATTTCAAAATCGATTGTTAAACATCTAAACTGTATAATTTAAAATTTAATTTATAATATTAAAATAAAAACCATGTATAGGGTGTTTAATTTACAATACAAGCATATGCGCATAATCAATTTAAAATATTTATTTCCGGAATTAAATTTGTTAAATTATTACTACAAAATTTATTTATTTTTTTTTGCTTAATTTAATACAATATGTACATATTATAGCAATTAACGAGTAATTTATGCAAATTTGTTGAGGATATTAAATCTCGTGCAATTTAAATTACTTATTATGGTGTTTACACATGAGTAATGTAATGAGTTTTAATTGTAAGAAATTATATTTGGATCCTGATGTTTATTTTTAACTGTTTATAGTGCGAGGGAAATAATATGAGTTTTTATTTTAAGCTTTAGCATTTTATATTTTTATTTAAATGAAAAACAAGTTTACAAAATATTAATTTATTAATTAAATTACATACAAACTAAATGATTTTCTAGTATGGAAATATAATATAATGTCAATTTTAATTTACAAGCAACTTTCAGCATTGTTAGTTAATTTCGTAGTTTTTAAAATATGTAATTAAAAACTATTTAATAAAAAATGAATTATTTGAACGAAATAAATAAATTTGATAAAGAAAATGCAACGATAGATAAAAATGAACTTCTACTATGCTTATTTTTTTTCTTTGACATCTAAAAAATAACTCAAAAAAAAAGTTGGTCTGCGAAATTTTTCTATGAAACTAAGTACTAAAGGCTACTAAGAATATTATTTCTTATTTTGATTTTATGAGCCTGTTTTCAAAACAGATAATGTTGTGAATTGTATAGAAATCTCACATTTAATTTTATAGAGAGTTTAATTAGTTTTCTTCTTAGTGATTTAAAAATTAAATTAAAATTTCGAATAGAATATTTAAATTAAAATTTAATTTACGTAATTTTTTACACACATTTGTATTAACCAGAAATAAAAAATGAAATCTAATGATATAGCGGCAGTAGAGTTACTGGAGTGTTGAATTTGGAATGAGATAAGACAAGATTTCGAAAGCGGTATATTATTTCAATAAACATTTGAAACAAATGCAGTGACTTGGGCTAAATTTAATTTCGACTAAATTAAAAGCTTAATAAAAAAAACACAATTTTGCATACTTTTGAATTAATTTTATACTATTCTAGGTAATTCCATGTTATGACGAGCTTTTGACATTTAGTTAATCCAATTCGTTTAATAATTTGATATGCGCATAAGCACTTCGAAATCATTTTGGTTAGGCTTAATCTTATTCACCTTAGTAACTTTGTTATAGTTTGGAATTACTAAAGGTAAAAGAATTTAGTTTTACTCAACTCTGAAAGCGATTGAATTCAAGTAAAATGAATTTTAATCAAAGTTTGATTTGTTATATAAAGTAAATTACCGCAAATTACAAACATTACAAAGATAAAATGATTATGGCAGTAACGTAGAAACTGAGTTATTATAAATAATTTTTGATAGATCTAAAAAATCTAATTGTAAAAACGTTAAATACATGATGTAATATAATCAGTATTTAAAATTATAATTTCAGCTATAGATATACACATATTTAGACATATATGTACACAATATTCATGTACATTATAGATTCATGTTTTATTTTTTAAGTACAGAAATACTCTTAAAATAAACTCTTAATATTTTTTTTACTAATTTGAATTGGTCAATTCCATTGCTATACTTGAAAATCTTTGAATTTATTAAACTATTTTAATGAAATTTTAAGGTTTAACCAATTTATTTAATGATCAACTTGTTTTCTATTATTTTTGTTTTCCTTTTTATTCTCTTTCCTTAAATTCCTTATAATGCATTCATTTTAAGGTCACACTTTATCACTCAATAGCTTATTATCCTGAAGAACATAATTAAATTAATTATCCTTTTATATAATATCATTTTTAGTAAAAAAGAAATAGAAAAAACAAGATTTATGTCTTGTTTTTTTTTATATTTAATTGCTATGTACTTACACTAGAAATAATTTAAAATTAAAATTATCTATAATTAATTGTTAATAAATTGTTAAAAATTAAAAATTGCACAAAATATTCTATACAATGTGTTGTTAATCAAAATACATTAGAATAAAATAATGAAAAATAAATTAAATTTTTAGCTTCTAATTGTTATTCCATTTTTTTTTGCTTCTGAATTGGGATAATTTTAATAATACAATTTTTGTAATTTATACAATTATATTTATATTATTTATGATTTTGTAATATCAACTTATTTGACTATTTGTTCGAGTTTATTCTCCAATTAAATGCAAAAAGAATTTTGCTTTTTTGGATGGACTATTATATCAATAAAAACAATGGTAATTTATAACTACACATAGATAATAGAAAATGAGATTAATTAACATTGTTTATTTTTCATCAATAGATAATTTAAAAAAGTTTTTACAATCTTCCTTAGAATTGATAAGGTACATATATGAAAATATTAAATTGTAAATATTAAATTTTAAACAAAAATTTCAATTCGAATATACTTATACATATATGTATCATCGAAAATCAATATACATTAGAATTTTACATAAAATTTTTAAAGAATTTTATTTATTCTTTGCATGAACAAATGTAATATTGATCCAAAATAGAAAAAAAAATTTGTAATTTAATTAATTATTAATTTCAATTCTTTAAAATTAACAATAATTAATATGAAACTTTTTATATTAAATGTAAACTCATTTTCTGTCCTCAAAATAATGCAATTTAATTTATGTATAAATTAATTATATTCGGACTTATTTACGTACTTTTGTTTCTAATTAAACTTGTTTTTTTTCTTCCAAAACAAAATTCTATTTATCATTTCTTCTAATTCAATATCGAGACTCTAAATTAAATTAAGAAAAATTATACATTACTTTTATCTTTGTTAAATAATATAATTGTTTTGGTTAAAAAACTTTTGAAAATTTTTATACATTAAAAAAAAATTAAACTACTTAATGGGAAATATCAATGGTTGTTTTTTTTTTTTTTAATTTTCATATTTAAATATTAGTTGTAGAAAGTTTTAACATATATTATATAATTTTTTAACTATATATGTATATAAAAATGTTCACTTTTTTATATCTGATAAAATTTTCTATAATACGAAGGTCATACGCATTCTCCGGGGTTTTGTGCACAATATTTTGGAAATATTGGTTCGGCCTTAATATCTAATTCAATTAATCTATTACGAAATACACCCATACGACTAAAAACTTCGCGTGGTACAGCATCGAAATCATGTTCATCATCTGGATCCGTCCAAAGTCTTCAAAAATTAAATAGATATAGGTTGGATATATTAGAACACAATCAGCATTATGATCAAAAATTAAATATTCTTAAATACCTTTCCGCGATAGCAGCAGTTCTTGGCCATAATCTATTATCTAGTGCGGCCTCATCGACTTGTTCTGTCCATAAGCATGCTTCACCTCCTAATATCTACAATAAATTATGTTTTATATGTAATTTTTTTCTAATGAAAAGCTTTAAATAAAAGCAACCTACTTGTTTCATACGATGAGGATCTAATCGCATTCTATCCCATGGTCGATGTTTATATACATTTTGCCAAGTTCGGTATGGTGAACAAGCTGCATCACCTGCAAGAAAATTTATTTTTATGTAATAAAAATGTACATGATACCATTTACAAACATGTTCAAGCATACATATAATAATACATATATACATAAAATATACATTGTTTTATTTTAATGTTAATCAAACCTGTAGCTCTCCAACTTCCAAAACCACAATCTAAATACCATGCATCAACGTGCGATATAATCAAATTGAAACCGTTATCTAATAAATCATAATTTTCCTGCCAGGTACTGCCACCCCATACTTGAACAACAAATTGTTTTTTAGATAAACAATGAGTATTTGTTAGTCCACTTGACCATACAGAAACATATTTTGGTAATTTATTATTATTAGCGATTTTTAATCTATATTAAATAGGAAAATAAAGAATGGATTATAATAGATTATAATAAAATTAATTGCAAAAATTAATTTTAATTATACCTTTGTAAAGCAGTTGTCATAAAATCACACCACATTCCTCTTAAATCGGTATCATTAAAATATTGTCCCCAACATTCTAAATTCACCTCATCGCCACCTAAATGAAAATAATCAGTTGGCCCTGTTAAATTTAACAATTCTTCATATAATTTTTGAAGAATAAGGTATGTGTTATTATTTTTTGGATTTAGTTGACCACATGGTGGTTCACCTGTTTTAAAAAAAAATATTATGCTAATTTAATTTTTAGATAAAGTTTTTTTTTTTATTTTACCGCAATAAAAACTCCAAGGCTGCTGATTAATACATAAACTCAATTCACCTAAACCCTTTTTAGGACCCCACTCCCAGCCATTACCAGCATGTGCGGGTGCATCTATTTCAGGTATTATTTGAATTCCTCTTACTTGAGCAAATTCAACAATTTCTTTGACATCATCAAACGTATAAGTTTCATGTTCTGAATATGCACCATGGGCTGCTAGTTCCGGATAATGTTTAGAAACATATGGAAAACTTTGCGAATCTGTAATATGCCAATGAAAACGATTCAATTTTACATAAGACATTGCTGTTAATGTCCGTTTGATTGACTCCACCGAAAAGAAATGCCGTGATGTATCCAACATCAGTCCTCTATACCTATATAATTTATTTTATTTACAGATTAAGAAGCAATCACATAAATATATTAATAAGTTTACTTAAATCTTGGCACGTCAGATATTATTGATTTGGATATAACTCTTAATATGTCATCTTCATCATCATACCAAATCATTTGCTGTAGGGTGGCGAGTGCATGTCTAGCTCCGAAATATGAGTTAGCTGTTATTATAGCTGTCATCTTTCGTTTATCATCTATTTTAAATATTCAAGAAATATTTAACAGTTATATAATAACAATGTGTGATAGTAGATAATTAATAAAGAAATTTGTAATCGATGCATAAAGAATGTAAAATAGTAAAATTTAATTAAAGTTTACTCACATCCTGTTGTTAAATTGTAACTTTCATCCGTATCAAAGGTTAAATGTACTTCATTTGATTTCAATATATTTACTTCCACCACAAATTTATCAATATCACAGTTTAATCTTTTCTGTTTTATCAAAAAGCTATGAATTTCATTATTTTGTTTTATACTATTCGTTTGACTATTACTATTTTGATTATTATTTAAAATTTGATTATTACTAACAAAATTATTATTATTATTAATATTATTATTAATATTATTTCTATTATTATTATTAAAATTATTACCAGAATTACTGGCAATTGAGCTACTTATATCTAATTTTTCAATGTGCTTTAAGTCAATTAAAAATAAACCAAATGCATTTCGAAATATTGTTTCAATATTTTTAAATTCTGTCTTTATACTTAATTCGATATCAAATACGGTAAAACGTAAAGATTTAGAACTAAATGCTGTTTTTATTGTGGGATGTGGCCAAATATTTATATCACCACATGTCATTGAACATGTCATAAATGGGACACGTTTTTCGGCAGTATCCTCGGTGAGATAATGTTGACGAATGCATTTGTCACCCTCACACTTATATGTCCATGTTTTTTCGGGAGGACTGAAAAATAAAAATTAAAAACCAAATTAGTTTTTCTTTAATTAATTTAATTTTAACCGTACTTACTTAGAATCTATATTAACTGGCGTCCTATTTCTTAAAGATGTCTCAAATGTGCTAATAAATGACACTGGCTTTGTTACATTTTGATTCCAGTATAAAACTAGTAAAACAAAGACCGTTACCATTAAAAGCATCAACAATGCTCTCCGGAGCGATACTGCCAGAGCCATTTTGATTATAAAACGAATCCTATTATACAAATAGAAAAAAAATTAATTACATATTAATTGTATTAGCAATTAAAAATATTAGAAATAGATGAAAAATTTCTTTTTTGCGATTTTTGTAATTTCGTTTAGGGAAAATGGCAATTACATGATAGATTCGGACACTTTTTGAATTTAAAATGAGCTATTTATTATCGATCATATTGCATATAAGAGAGGTACATTATTATGGCACCAAACTTCACATGTCAAGTTTTCAAATGAAATGCGAGATAAAAGATTTTAATGGAAATGTCGGTTCTTTCATTCTTATAATTCAATTTTGACAGGATTTATTTTTATGAAAATTAATATCTGAGTTTTGTTCGAATTCGAGATAAATTGATCAGCTTTAAGAGATTATGTCAGTTATCATAGAAAAATATTCAATAGATTTCCTTGATATTCAATACTTGAGCTTGGTTCGCCTTGGGTTCTATAAGAACAAATCTTTTTTTAAAGGTATGTATATAATTAATATCTGAAATAAATATTTGATTTTTTCATTATCTTTTGCAACACTTACACTAAACTGATAAAAACCGAATATTTAATTATTCAGAAAAAAGCCGGTTTAGATAAATCATTCGGAAATTAAATAATGTGGTCGATTATGTGCTGAACACATCATATTTTTTTATGTTAATATATTGCTACCTATATGTTTATTTATTATGTATATATCATGATATCTTTTGAGTTTTTGATCTTTGAGCCAAAATTAATTTGAATTTATTCATTTTTATTGCAGATATAAGTTCGAATTCACAAATCTAGATCATATACAAAGAATTTCAGTTTACTCAGTTCGTTCAAGTTTTTTTGCACTGGATTAAAATCGTTCCATTTCAATAATTTACAAATATATTAGACAATGGCAACGATTTGTTCGATCTATACCAAGAATGAGGTGCATAAACTTTTAATTATAAAATATAGATTTTGTATAATATTCAAGTATTTTAATAATTGAATATTAATATTATTTAATTGACTGCTATTTTTAAAAAATCTCACTAAAATTAATGCCTGATATATTTGGCCATTTATAATATTTATATATCTAATTAATTTAGGCTCTTATATATTATTAATTTTCTATTAATAATTTCTTAAAATATTTATTTTATATTTTATTATCTGTAAACTGTTTTAATGTACAAGTTAAAAATTTTTCTTTACATATATAAAAGTTATATTTAAAAAATTTTACAAAGTATAAAAGTTATTTTTACCTTTCCATAATTAACGTGTGTACAGATATATGTTTAATTTCCATATAAAAATTTATTAATTTAAAAATGAATTTTAACTCCATAAAAATTTAAATAACACAAAAAAAAATTTTAATAAAAATTCGTACGGAAGGGAAAAAAAATTTAAAGTTGGTTTAAAAATCCTTATAAATTTTTTATTATTTCAAAGAATTAAATTTAAAATTCATTTTACGAGTAATTCAATGTGTCAATCAACAACAATATATAATATTAATTTACATAAGTTTGTACATATATGTACAAATATTTAATTATATGGTAAATTTTCAACATAATTTCCTATGTACAAAAAATCTTATTTTATTATTACATTGGTATGTATGTGTAATTATATATATATATACTATTTTGGTATATACTCGCGATTATATATGTACTATTAAATCACATGAGAATATTACATTAAAAAGCCACATTTCGTCAAATAAATAATAAAAATTAATACCAACAAAACCACTAAAAATCTTTTTAATAAATTTATTATTCTACTTTGAATTTTTTTTTTAATATTCTTATAATATTTACTATTTCTTTTGAATTATTTTCTTCTTTTTTTTCAAGTATTTCTTATTTATTAATACATTTTCGTTATTGTCACGTGATATTATTTTACTTAAGGATTTAAATCCTTGTTTTATTCTCTTGTTTCTTTGTTAGCACTTTTTTTTTGTAGTTTGCTATTTTAATTATAAGTTCTTGATTTTTCTTTTTGTCAAATATTTTATTGAAATGTTCAGATTAAGTCTTTAGTTATCATAATTTTTCAAACGTTATGTTACTACCTACATTAATCAAATAAACATATATATATATATTATATATATATATATGTGTGTATATTACATAATGCATCCATACATTTGTAATGTGTGAAAATAAATAATATACCATGAGAAATATTGTAGCAATGTAGGCACGAAATATTAATCTGTGGTGACATTTTCACATAGTATAATAACCGTTATTTTGACATTTAAAAAAAAGGTAATTGAAAACTGTTAATATATTCATAATTAACATATCAAATAATGTTTGGAAATGAAACTTCTTCTTTTTATTAATATAATTTATCAAATTTGCATTCTAAATGTTTATGTCAAATAGAGTATCAGTGTGGAAAAAATCTGTTTATTTGAAATGCAAATATTTTTATGACATGTTGACATAAAAGCCTTCCAAAATTTATTTTATTTAGTGTGCAGAACACATATAATAAATTATTTATGATATACAAAACTCGATACCTAAAATTGATTTGTGTGATTTAGTTCAAACTTTATTTCAGAAAAAATTTATTTCCAATAGATATAATTTTAAATTTTCTTGAAAAGTACCATAACTTTTGTTTCTGAAACCATATAAGCATTAATTTTTAACCAATATATAGAACCCAATATATAAAGTAAAATTTTCAAAAATTTACAGTTATCATATAGTATTTAAAAATGCCACACAATTATAGTTTTATTATGTTTTTTTTTTTTTCTCCTTTGTTCACTCCTAGAAGGAGCATAGGGCTAGTGCCTGATTTCTCATGCACTAGTTTCATAGCGTTTTATTTATATATTAATTATTTGAGGTTATTAATATTTACTATTTATTTTTCTTAGTTTTTTTTTTAATATCGAATATTAGGAATATTTGAACATTACTTGTATAATATTTTTATTAGTATTGTATATTAAGTTATATTAATATTGAATATAATTTTTATAGTGACCTGACCGGGGTTTGAACCCGAGACCCTTCGGTTAAAGGACCGGTGCCATAACCACTGCACCAATGGTCAGTTTTATTATGTACGGGTAAAGTATTGCTATTAAATTGTCAATAAAGTAAACATACTACAATATTTAATTTCATTTTATTAAAAAATTTATATTGTAAATTATTAACTTTATTTTTATTGACTCTTCTAAATTTTCGGGAAAATAATTTTTTTTTGTTTTATTTGCAGTAGTAAAATTAAAGCTGCGTAATTCTGAGAAATTTTTTAAGATTTTAGTTTGCACTTGTAATTTAAAAAACACTCTTAAAACACTGCTGTATTTTCAAAAATCCTATTTCGGAAGTTCGTACTATATGAACTCAATACAAATTCAATACAAATTAAATATTAAAATAGAACTGATTTATCAAAAATACCCAATATTCATATTTTGTATTTTAAATATTTATGTTACTTAAATAATTTTAATTGTGTTTCTTAAATTTATTAAATTATAATTGTGTTACTTAAATTTATTGTTTGTCTTTAATTAACAAAAAAAATATGCATATTTAGTTTTCTAAAATTTATAATATGAGAAAAGTGAACAAGTCTTTTAACGTTGTGAGTTTCAAAAATAAAAAATTCTTATTTTATTAAAAAGAACTACTATTATAGTAATTTTCAATTCACTATTTACTATGTTCAACTATCATATTATATTTTCAAATTCAAAATTCAAAGTGTCAACACTAATATTAGGATACTTTTTAAATATTTCTTTTAAGTATACATTGTGTAATATAAAACATATATTTTCATATATCTATAAATTTGTAATGGTATTATGTACTTCTAAACTAATAATATAAAAATTCATATGTTAAGAGAAGCTCTTATCAATTTTTTAATAATTTTTACATACTCGTATCTATTGACTTTTGCACATTTGTATCTTCATACACGTTTGTATACAAGAGTTTTGTTGAAGTACACGTTCTTATACTATATTCATATATAAGAAGAACACGTTATATCAAAACACGTAATAGATTTAGAAACCTTTAGTTACAAAAACAAAAAAAAAAACAAATGAACATATGTTATGATTGTAACAAATATACGAAAATACAATTATACACACATAAACTGTCATATATGAAAGTATATATACATGTATGTATTTATAAATCAGAATACAAGAGATGTGAAATATAAAATGAAGAGTAAAAAATTTTTTTTAACACTTTTCCGAATATAAAAAGAAAAATTCTTTTTCTTTGACACAATATTTTCTTTTCCTTTTTTTTAACCTTTTTTTTATTTATTTATTTTATTTTTCTAGTTGTGGTTTCTTATAATATGGATTTCCGAAAACATACTGTAAGAAAATACGGAAAATTGTTCTGAATTCATCATCGACAGAATTTTTTTTTGTTTTTGTTTTAAAGAATAAAACAAAATGAATAAAAAAAAGGAAAAAATTTAAAAATAAAAAAAAACTATACAATGAAAAAAGGGAAAATACGAGACCTCCTTTTTATTTTCTTCTTCAAGTTTTCACGGTTTTAAGGACATTTCGACTGAAGAGTAGGGTATTATGTGAAAAATAGTACGTTTGTTTTCTGATTTTTGTTTTGTTTTATAAAATAATTGAAGGCACACCATTGTATAATAGAAAGAACAAAACATAGAGCGAGAGAGAGAGAGTGAGTGGGAAAAAAGAGAAAGAGAAAAATTTTATAATTATTGTCGTCAAGTTAGAGAGTATAAATTTAGTCGGTGGCACTGTGGCAATGAATTTTTTTTGCAAAAATATAGATAATTAAAACATTGAGTTAGTACACGTAAAACTTTACAAACTTGTATATACGATCAAGGGTATACTAGGTTTAGCGATGTATATATGTATATACATCTCAAAAATATACATCGCATAAATAAAGATAGATACATTTTTAATGCCATACTTATACTCCTCTACAAATATGAATTACG